GTTTTACAGCTGAAGGGCTTCAATCTCTCTTCTGAAAATGTGGTTCCTGCATTTCTGTCTGCAACTCTGTGCTACGTGATCATAGTTTTCTGCAACCTTATTTTAATCCTCACCATCGTGCTGAACAAATCTCTGCATCAGCCCATGTATCTGATTCTGCTTAACCTTCCTATCAATGACCTTATAGGCTCCTCAGCGCTCTTGATACAACTCACTAAAGAAGTACTGACCAACAGCGGGACGATACAATACACGGCTTGTGTCGCTCAAGCTTTTTGCATCCACATCTACGGAGCAGGCTCTGTGATCATTCTGACCGCTATGGCGTACGATAGATACATCGCCATATGTTGCCCTCTGCAATACAACACCATCATGACCTGTGCTCACATTATGAGAATAATCACAGTCGTATGGATGAGCAATTTCATTTTAATAGGCGTGCTATTTTTTCTGCTTCTGCGCTTGCCCCGCTGTCGATCTGAAATAACACACACCTACTGCGATAATCCATCTTTGCTGACTTTGGTGTGTGCCGACACGAGCATCAACAACATTTACGGGCTTGTTCTGGTTGCCGTGACACAACTGGTGGGCAACGGAATGATTTTATACACGTATCTCTGCATCCTAGTCGCATGCTTCAGATCTAAACGGTCAGACACAAAAGCCAAAGCTCTGCAGACGTGTGCCACTCATCTAACCGTGTTTCTCTTGTTGGAGTGTCTCGGTCTTTTCACCATCATATCGTACAGACTAAAGAACATCTCGTCACATTTGAGAAGATTCATGGGGTTGTTGGCCTTAATTTTTCCCCCGACATTGAATCCAATCATCTACGGACTGAAAACAAAAGAAATTCGAGAACAAATAGTTCGATTTTTAAGGAACAAAATCCTTCCAACTTAATGTATTCTCTTTCAACTTGCCCTCATCATGCAGCAAGCAGGAGCATTTCACAGCTGATTTTCTTCTTCTACCAACAACGTGTTTCTTGTCTTGCTACCTGAAGAAGTTCTATATTCTTGTTAACTCGGTGCCTTTTTATTTCCATTAAAATGTTCTTCATATGTTCACAAACGTTTCTGTCAAGCTGTAAATGCAGGGTCGCACTGAAGTTTGCAGCAACCATGTCAATACATATGTTCATTTTTGTTTTAATAATGTTTACAAAAAGCTGTCCAACTTCCAAAGTGATGTGAGTACATTTTGCCAATACTTTCTACCAGAGAAAATTTGAATTAATCAAGATTTGTTGTGTGCAAAGTGGAATATAGAGAGAAACCTTATTGAACTTTTAAGATTTGGATGCAGCATGTAACTCACTTGTACTGTTAAATAAAAAATAAATAATAAACTCAAAACACAGGGTGATGAGATTTTGACTAAAATGAGGAACATCTTATCCTTGCACCCAAATAAATATTACATGTCTTGCATAGTATCTTGCATGCTGCTGATTAGACGTTCATTAACTTGACTGATGCATGTTGTTCTGTGCCAGTGGACCTCAAACTATCAAACTAAAGGCATCATAAGATTGGACTGACATTTAGAACTTACTGGAGGAGCACTACGTGGAGTCTGATAAAAGCATGACTCATTGATTAAATTCACAATGTACACCTTCAGTGAAACCAATATTTAGCAGGTTATGTAGGTTTTTGGCAGCTTCCATGCCATAAGTACAACCCAAGTACACCAGAGGGCACCTACTTCACTCATTTATACTGACATTGAAACAGACAGTATATGAATTCCCGCTTCGTACATGTGTGTTGCATTTTGTGTGTTTTGCTGCCCTCTTGTGTCTGGTAAGGTCACTACAAGAAAAAAGGAGGACAGTAAACACGAGGCTGGTAAAAAAAAAAAGAACTGCTGCCACGACTTAAAGATCAGTTATTATAACTAAGGGTGCAAACTTATGTGTTATTAAATTCAAAGAAAGCCACAAACTTATGACAACATGTGCCGCAACATATAAATAAAACCCAGATACACCTAAACCTGCTCTGTTTTACCGTATTTTACTCTGACTGACCCTTATCACGACACGATAACTTAATTACTAATAAGTAAATAGACGTAATGGTTGCATGTTTGCTTATCTCTGTTAAACCTTTGTCCTTGTTTTTGCCAATGTGTCGCTGTCGACTCTGTGTGTGAGTTCACAGAGATCAGTGCTACATTTAAACACTTTTTCAATGAAGATGATTCTGAATAAGAGGAATGACATTTACCATTTGATTACAGCTGGTTGGTTGTTGTATATTGTACAGCTAAGGCAAATTTCTACGACAGAAATAAATCTGTTCTTAGTGTTTTGGTATATTAGACTGAGACATGCAGCTTTTATTATTTTGTTTAAAACTTCTAACTGACCAACTACATCATCTCTTCAACACTGCTATGCTGACGTTAAACACTGTATTTACACTCAATGAAAATGTTTGTATAGGATAGTAGAACACCCTGCCTATGTAGTAAATGATTTTAAAGATGTTTGAAAATCAATGAAACACAGTAAATGAAAAGAAATCACTTGCTTGGTTTTTGTTAATCATTCTGAGTGACCGTGATAACAATTTACTTTGTCTCCACACTGTGGCGAAATTTGATAATGCACAGCTTGATTTCATCCCCACAGAGACCTTACATCATTCTGTACGTACATGGTTCACTTGCAACATTCATTCTTTGCATTCAGCTTTCAACACCATATTACTGATATTTATTAAAAAAGGAAATAAGTGTAGACTAACAAAAAACAATGAATGAAATGATTTGGACAAACCCCTCTGCAGTCACTGTATACGTATACACTGAATTCAATCCACTAAGTATGAATTAATTATTCTATAAAAATATCTTACAGTTTGGCAAAACTAGAATATGTATTACTTATTATTGTGGTTTTACAGCCTAAATAATAACTATTACTGTATATTTCTGTACATTTATGATAAGTTAGACATGATAATGCTGTTTCCGGTCGCATAAAATTGCAGTTAAAGGTGGAGTTGCATGTGCCACGTTGTTTTGGCTCTTAGTGGCTTAGTGCCTTCCTTCCTTGTAGTGAACCATTCCAGACTCTGTATCACGTATGTAAATTGATTCAAGGGCTTCTGACCAGGACTGGTTCCTGTACATTCTTCTTCTCTTGTTATTCCAGCTGATTAGATTGCTGCTACTACTCTACCTGGGTATGAATGTGCATCTAACTTGTTAATATCCTCGCCGCTGTGCTTCTTATGTCTTTGGCTATTCTATAGCCACTTGCTAATAGTTGCTCGTAGCTCTGCAATAAGTTGACTGACATCTTTGATTGATATTTTGGATTTGTTTAGCTTGAACACGTCACCACTGTTTAAGTATGTATCTATACGTAGGAACACTGTTAGCCCTCTTTTGATTCTATTTGGGTCACTGATTTGGCTTCATCCATAGGCTCTGTTTTTCTTTATAGTTTTGTTTGTTAATGATGTTACTAAGCAATAAATCACATACACCACACACCAAAAGCAACTGGTTTTATGTTGTTTCCCTGTACCTTAGCCATCCATCTTGTTCCCACAATCATGAGTGTACACTAGACACATTGTAATAGATTAATTTGGTAAATGCTAGGGATATTCTCAGCCTGATCTTAAAAGCAATGATATTTTCACTGACTGATGTTCTCTGCTTGCTAACACAAAAGAACCTCCTTCCACAGGTTGCTATTTTATATTATGTGAGTTTGGGATATTTTGTGGCCCCCTACTTGACATCAAAGTTTAGTGTTAGTGCGGCCCGCGCATTTTTCTCACACGCACCTGTGCGCATCGTTGCCCTGGGCGTTTCATATTTTTTAATCACTTGTGGGCTACCATAGCTCAGGCTCGTGACAGCAACGCAAATTAGCAATGTTAGTCACTGGAAACGTGATTTGGGAGTGTAACCGAGTGGAGAGAAAATATATCCCAGTGCAAAAGTGCAAATGTGGTTTTGTTTTTCGTTTTGCTTTTTTCTGTATGTGTGAAAAGCTCTTCTCCACCACGAACTTTCATAAGTCATGACCTTTGACCTGTAAACTCCAATGTTTAATCAGTTTATTATTGCTTCTAAGTGAACTTTTGCTCCAAGTGGAAGAAATCCCATCAAAGCGCTCTTGTGATATCATGTTAGCAATAGAACAGACTGGCAACCGAAAACACAATCCCTCTGGCTTTTTTCCGTGTGTGAAAAGCCCTTCTCCACCCTGAACACAGCTGTTGCTGGACCAGTAGAACAAAACTAGAAATGCAAACAAACCATAAGACTGAACAGTAATACCTTGAGTCTCTATATTTCTCTTGCTGAACAACAACAAAAAAGTAACATGTGACGCACAAAAAATGTTACGGACATAACATGCTTTTCTTAGAAGTGGTGCATAAATGAATAAAAAAAATAAAAAAAAACTTTGACCGAACTAAAGGAAAGGTCTTGCTGTTTCACATTTGGTTGCACCGATCTTATTAAACTTGCTTCAAGAGGCTGACAGTACAACATACATTCACTCTCACATATATTAACTGTCACTTATGTGATGGCAAATATGATTGTATTCATTTTCTCTTCTTTTTATAGAAATGCTATTACACCATAACATGTAAAAGCTGAAAAAAGACAAAAGCAAAAATAACAAAGTAAAATAATAATAATTCACTGTTACAAGGCTATAAAAGTTAATACATCCATGCACTGAAAGCACAAATCAGATGGCAGCGAGTAAAACATCAAGCTGCACATGTTCAATATAAAATGCTGAAGAAAAAGGAATTACATGAGAAACTATATGGACTATGCAACAGTTTATTGTTGACTTTGTATGTCTTGTTTCTTTTTTCCTTGCCCTCTTATGTGTCGTACTGTATACTGGATGTTATTGTTGTAGAGGGATACATGTCTGATATAAGACAGTTTCTCAGAAATAAAAACTAAAAGCTCTTTATTAACTTCAGGAAATGAAAAAGCACAATTTGCTTCTTGGAGTGTTTACCAGCACCTGACTGGTTGGCTGTAGGTGTGTCATCATCCATCAGAGGATCTTTGCTCGTTAGTTTAATGACTTCTTTGTTTACAAAGTGTTGACAGGAAAGATGTGCCACACTCAGCCCTCCAGAGTGATTCATCCTCAGGACCGGTAATGAACCTCAAAGGGTTTGGAGAGGCGATGGAGTAAACAGCTACTGTTTTGTTTGGTAACACTGTCAACAGCGGCTGACAGGGGAGCTCGTCAAGCTTGCAAAGTGGTTTGCCTCGAAGTGAGATTTTATAGAGAAATAGCTTTAAAAGACATTTTATTAGCTATAGAAACGGTACTAGTATGTCTTACTCGAGCAGATGCATACTGGTCACAGTAAATACTTTAGTTTATTCTGTAGTTAGATTCTGCAATATTAAAAAACAGCTATTAACTTCAGTCATCCTGAACATGTTTTCTTTATAAGAACGCTTCCTCAAATTTCTTGAGAAAAGTTCTTTCCAAAAGAAGTTTCGTAGAATTACAACTCACTTCAGGAAAAGCAGAGTTCACGATATGTAAACTAAAAAAGTGTGACACGTGATCTGGACCTTCTGGTTGCCATAAATCAACTACAGAGTGTAATCCTTTAGATGTCTCAGCATATATGGTCACTCTCAACAATAATCAGTTTTTATAAAAATTGCAAACTTTTCTGTAATATGTAGAAGCAAACCTGTCTGTGGTACCTAACAGAACTGTTGTAGAGGATACAGTAGTGACGGTGCTATTTTGATGGAAGTGTGCTGACAACTAACATCTGTGAGACACAGAAATGTTTCTAGAAGTAAAAAAAAAAAAAGGTCATGCTGAGCCACATTGTGAATGTTTGGTATCTTAATGTTTTACAAAACTTAACGTATATAAACAAACACTTCAATAACTGTAACTATAGTACTTCCACTCAGACTATTCCCTCTTCTGTGCATTTTATGAACATTGCATTTACAATTGCAGATGAAAAATAGTATAAGATAAAAGTAAAAACTGCTTTGTATTTAATTTGGAATTTTTTTGCTACATTACACATAGCTGGATTTAAAACTGAAGACTTCTGCCTTGCAGTGATAATGCACATTGATTGGTAAGATACATCATGCACTACATTAGCCAGGGATTGGTGTTTTGTTGAAATCTATTAATAAAGACTTGAGTCATTTGTTCTCATAACTGGTTTCTCCATTAAATTCCTTCCAGCTCCAAAGCGTCCTGATTTGCAGTATCATTTTTGTAATAGAAACCTTACAAACACCGTGATAAAAGCTGTGATCAGAGAAAAAGAGTATATATACACTGTATAGATATATTCTCTTGTGTCAGCCTGATGAATGCAGACTTTGGTGAGATTTCTTCATTTTGTTTGATTAACACTCAAAACCATCCATACAAAGCAGACTGTTCCTTTCAATCCGAGGACAGATTTCATTCACGCTGCTGAGCTTCAAGTCTTGATGTTAAACATCAGCAGACAAAACCATAACAAGTGGTGCCAACAAAGAAAATGTCAGTAATAGAGCTGGCAACCTCAGCAAGGCTGAACTGTGACAGAAATAATAAAGGAATGCTTTCAAATGAAGTAACAAGAAAAAGTAAGTGAACTGTCAGGAGTTCGTTTGCAGCAGTAGCTAACAATGTTTCCCATTACTGAAAATACAAAGACGGAGGTATTTTCTGGGCTTATAACGGGCCTCTGAGGGCAGACAATGACAGCAGGACGACCGATCCTTGAACAGTTATAGCAATGCGTCTGTGTTGCCTCATTTACAGAAATCTAAGCCTTGTTCCTGTTATTTCTGACCATTTGTCAAACATGAATAAACCCTGGCATGAAAATGACAATTCCCAGCAGCAGTGCTCAGACACGCCACCTTGTAGACAGAAATCCTTGCAGATACCAGATTTAAGAGTCAAAGCCACAGCAGCTGCATCCTTGCCTTCACTCCTCCTCCTCATCTCTTCTGTCCTCCATCCTACTGCCTGTGACCTGGAAATCAATCTTAGCACACCATCTTCAAGGATGATTCAGTCCCTAAAATGCATGTAGAAGAGCAAGAGAGAGGTTTGCCGGAGGAGCTATGAGCGAAGATGCACAGACCACACAAAAGAGGACAATACAAATAAACAATGGCCCGTATTATGACAGAGTAATATGTATAATAGATACATTTGTCAGTCCTGCTCCCAACATGGTTTGTATATTCCAGCAAGGATACACCTGTGTGGCCTCTCCTCTCCTCAAGATGCATTTCAGGAAATTAGATATCCTTTAAGATTTTCAGGATTGATTTCTCAGTCACAGACAGGAGGACAGAGGAGAAGATGAGACTCGAAATAGTAAAATAAAACGGTGGCTGATTCTTTAATCAGCTCTGACTCGCTGTCTGCCTTCCTGCTGCTCCTTATGAGTAATTAGTATCCAGGTGTACTCTGCAAATAGAAGGCATTTTGTTGGACAGCTTTTATATTCAAGACTCCCTCCAAATAGGTCGGGGCAGTATAGCAAAAAAAGATATTTGCGGGTGCCCAGATAGCTCAACGGGTTGGACGGGCAACCCATGTACAGCTATATATGCTGCATGTCCTTTCCCCACTCTTTTCCCCATGTTTCACCGTTCTATACATTTAAGGCAGAAAAGCCCCAAAACATCCATTCATCCATCCATTATCTATACACCGCTTAATCCTCACTAGGGTCGCGGGGGGGCTGGAGTCTATCCCAGCCGACTCAGGGTGAAGGCAGGGGACACCCTGGACAGGTCACCAGTCTATCACAGGGCTACACTTAGAGACAGACAACCAAGCACACTCACATTCACACCTACAGACAATTTAGAATCACCAATTAACCTCAGCATGTTTTTGGACTGTGTGGGAGGAAGCTGGAGAACCCGGAGAGAACCCACGCTGCACGGGGAGAACATGCAAACTCCACGCAGAAAGATCCCGGTGCCCCCACCGGGACGCGAACCGGCGACTTTCTTGCTGCGAGGCAACAGTGCTACCAACTGTTCCACCTTGCAGCCCGCCCCAAAACATATCTTTTAAAATATATATATATATATACTATATTCTTTTCATGTTGAACAATATTTCTAATCATCATAATATGCATTGAACACCATTAATTGGGAAACAGTGTGATTTTAAGAGCAGCAGATATTACAAACATGATTTGTTGATTGTTAACAATAAGTATTCAATAAGTATTTTGAAGTTCAAAGAGTAATATTACATTCAGTTTAGGATTAAATCCTACCAAGGCTTACCATGGTTAAAAACTATGTTTGATATTTTAATCAGTAATTCTATTCTTTATGTCATTGCGTCATTGTTAAAACAAGACATATAGGTCGACATGTTCCACATGTTTGCTGTTGCACACTGGCTCTGGCAGCAGTGCTTATTTATACGTCATAAAATAACCTTATATACTCCAATAAAAATGCATGAGTAAGAGAAAACATGACAATAAAAGTGACAAACAAAATTTTTTATATGACCACTGCCAAACATTCAGCAACAAGTTTTATTTTTAGATGCAGATTATTCAACATTTTTTAGAAGTTCGATATAATTTTTAACCCACTTCAGGGAAAAATAAGCAACTGGTGAGGCTTAGAATTTACATAAATACCAAGAAACCCCAAAACAATTTAACTGAATTTAGCTTTGAAGGTCAATAAATAGAAAAATAATCGGAGTAGAGCTTTAGGGTTATTTTGGGGGATGTTCCCATGAAATTAATAAAATTGTTCACATAATTTTTACCAAGAAAATCCCTAAAATAAATTGAGAAGTGTAAAACAGGGTCTATACAATGAGACTATCTATACAACTCTTTGGTATCTATTTAACTTAAAGGTGCTTTATATGCAGCTGAAAACAAGTGCCAAATATGATCAGTTATTTTTACAAAAGCTGACATTTGTGAACTGTCATTCCCTCAGACAGAGTGGGGTTTCCATGTGACACACTCTGCCAGTGGTACAATTATCTTTGCACAAATATAATGTCAACATTAGGTAGCTGAACTAATCAGAAGGTGAAATTAACTCCTGATTAACTGATACAGACGTGTGTGACATCCTCTGAGAAAAAAAAATCACATGCCATTTAGGTTGTTGAATGTAAAGAAATATTTTATTCACAAAGTTTTTCTTAATCTATTTTAAAGGTAATAAAGTGAAAGCCATTGTGGGTTTCTACAAAACAATACTGCATATTAAACATTTTTAAACAACATCTACAGAAGTCACATTTTGCAGACAAAACTATTCAGTCAATTGCAAAAACAATCAGCAGATTAATCCATAAAGAAAATAATAATCAGTTGCAGGCTGTATATATGTTAATGTCACATGCTGTTGCTTACAGAAAAACACAGGCGTGTGAAAGCCATAGAGATAAAAATCCCCAAATAAATCAAGGACATACATTTTCATTCAAAACCTTGTTTAAGTTAAAGATTAGAGTTACTGAGGCTGCACGCATGTTCCTGAAATGTCCAAAATATTACATATCTAGATTCTCACTAACCCAAGTCCTTAAGATAAGGCCGCAGTTTAGAAAATGCATGCATATATTCACTCATTATAGCATAATACTTAAACCACAGAATAAGCTCACAGTTCACAAGAATCTAGTGAGACAAATCAACATTTTTGAATATCTTAATGATCTTGCATTTCATTTCTTTAGTCCTAAGACAGTACACGAAAGGATTTACAAGAGACGGACCGAGGATAGCCCCGATCGTTATATTGTGGCGTTCCTCAACAGTCAGTACCACACCCATCCTGGTCAAGACAATGCGGACAAATAAAGGACCGTAATAGCACACTACAACAATCAGGTGACTTAAACAAGTGCTCCCCATTTTCTTCTTGTCTTCATTTGAGGATAATTTCACATAATATATGATGGCAAAGTATGACAATAAAATAAAAGTGAAGGTAAAAAATAAAAGAAAAAAAGATATAACAGTGATTACATTGAAATAGTAATTGAGGTCAACACAGGTGGTACGCAACACGGCAGCGAAGTCACAAAAAGCGTACATCAGCCGCGGGTGGCAGTGAGTGAGAGGCAGCACAGATACAGGCATGACAGACACAGAAGCCGCAGCGGCGAGCCACAAGAAATACGTCAGGACCACAATGCGTGTGTTCGTCAAATAGCTGTGGTACTGAAAAGGATAACTAACAGCAATTAATCGATCAAATGCCATAACTGCTAAAGCAAACATCTCCATCACTGCTGCCGTGTGGCAAATCACCATTTGAAATATGCACGGCACATAGGAGATAGTTTTAACACCAGCAAGTAGAACCCCAATCATGGTTGGACCGGCACTTGAAGTGTATACTATATCAACAACAGCAAGGTTACAGATCAGAAGATACATCGGCTTATGTAATCTCTTGTCAAAAACAATTACGACGACATTTACCACATTGGCAATAAGAACTAGAACATATGTAACCAGTATAATCACACCGACTAACGTGGGCCTTTTGATTGTGTCAAAACCGCCGATGATAAACTGTGTTATTTTGACTGAAGAGTTCTGTAAAGACATGTTTTAAATATCAAGATGGAACAGTTCGAGCAAAAATGAAGGTAAAGTAACGGCTCCGCTCAGACACAAGATGACCTAGTATATTGTAAAGTATAATCAGTCAGAAAAAAAAAGTGAGCTCGGCCATGTTGCTCATCTCTGGGTTTTACCTGACAGCTTCAAGAACTAGTGGTTTTAAGGCTCACCAGGATGAAATCTTTTCATTGGGCAGAACAACTGTCCAATCACAGTGGCTATAGCACTGTTGTGTATCATCGTATTGTCAATACAAGTGATGCTGACAGACAATCTCATCATGGGGGGGGGACGGATTTATGAGCTGTGAGGAAATTTCACACTATTGCTGATTTTTTGGGGCTGATGCCAATTCCAATATTTGGCAGAAAAAAAATTCCGATATTCCGATTATTTGAAAAAACTATAGAATGAATAAAATAGCTTCTTTTTTGGTCCCTTAACGCTTACAACAGCAAACAAAATCTAAATGACAGGCAGAACATTTTACTGTTTTATCATATTTTGTCCTTTTGTATTTCTTTAACTTAAATTTTCAAGTACAAAAACATGCGTCCTTATCTCCTCAACACTCAGCTGATGGAGTGATGAACGGTTGTTCTGTACTCTCAAAGACGGTGCTGTCTTTAAAGGTGATGAGAAAAAGTTAATAAAAATGTAAGTTAAATAAGTTAGTTGAAAAGTTGGATCAAAAGTTTAAAAAGCTGTTTTCTGTGGTTCTCTGAAAACCAGTCAGAGTGAGCGCACTTTGCGCTGTTTTGGGTTCAGACTTCACTCACTCACTTTTGAGTGAGTGATCTTACTGCTGTATGGTCGTAAGCTATCTTAACTCTTTGTCATCTCCGTGAGCCAAGTTTGACTTGTTCACAACAAACAGCAGCAAAAACAGAGCTTTTCATGGTGTTGTTGAAGTGTTTTTACACGCTTTGCCTTAGAGAATATTTGTCTTTCAAATTGTACAAACAACATTTACTGTTTTATGAGAAATTAAGAATATATCGGCGTTTAATCGGCAAAACTCCGGCTGATGATGACTATTTTGAAAAGGGCTATAATCAGCCGATTAATCGGCCAGCCGTTAAATCAGTCGTGCCCTATTGCTGACAACAGAAGCAGAAAAGCATGTAAATGACTAATTGATTAAATCAATATGCATATCAGTCATAAATTAATCTGGCATGTTTGTTGACTGGCAAAAGGAAAAGTTATCGCAAAAGACTGGCGTCATTGACACTGATCACCTGTGATCATCGTCACCATTCCCAATATCAGCAGGGGGAAAAATCCATTTGTATGGTACTGTGTCCGCTGAAGACATCCGACAGTAGAGAATCCTTTACGAAAGTTGGAGAGATTTTTGTTTTTAAAGACATTTTGTTGGCCTTTTGGCTTTACTAGATAGGACAGAGAGAGACAGGAAAGTGTGTGTGTCGGGGGGGAGAATGGGGGAAGGACCTGCAGCAAAGGGCCATGAGCGGGACTCAAACCCATAACCGCTGCATTGGGGACTATAGCTCCTATACATGGGACTCCAGCTCAACCAGGTGAGCTATAGCAGCGCCCGAGTTGGAGAAATTTGGAACTAACTGCTTATTGCTGGATTCTCTGGTATTTACGGGCACATGGTGGCTGCCGTGAGTCTGTGAGTGTTCTACTGCAGTTAATTCATCCGTTACTACTCTCATGCTGATACTTTGTCCTTTGACAGAGACATCAGTTATCTAAAAAATGTTTTAAAATCAATTACCTAAATACTCTATCATTAATTTACAGTGGTGGCTTTCGAGGCGCAGGTCATGACAAAGGTCAAGCATGTTGAAAATTGCACCATCAGTAATGCAGCAGCAGAAGACTGCAAGCAGAAGCACTTTGACAGATGAAGTGACTGTGCATCACCAGCAGGTTGTGCTGAAGTAACATCCATTAACACACACCAGGGAGTAAAGACACTGGTGATATTGCTGAATGTAGTGCAGTCCAGTACACCGACCTCTCCACCCAATACGACCTCAAAAATAAAGTTGAATCATCACCTTTTTAACAACATCAACAAATCTGAAAATATGCAAGCTTTGTAAAAACATAATTAATGCCAGAGGTGTTGCGTTGCATTTCACAGGTGCACCTAATAAAGAGGCCAGTACTCGGACAAAAATGAATCAGAAACAATTTGAGCACAGTTTGACATGTCTTACATGTCTACTAAACCATTGTTTTCATTATTATTTTGTGGTAAGCAGCTTGATGTGACTCTTGGTGTTGTTTTGCTATACAAGGAAAGCTTGTACTTACTGTACCCATTCATAACATGAACAACCATAGATAGATTAATGGTTAATTTACTGCAGCTGACCGAAACTAAACGTCTTTGTAAGAAATCCAGAGCGCACAGATGAAGCCTTGCAGACTGACAAGAACAGTACTGACCACTGGATCATCTATGTTTTATATGAATACTGATCTAGCATGTAGTTCTAATTTCCTCATAGGTTAAATCTTGTAGTTTATTATCCACTAAATGGTTAAATAAATCAGTAAGTAACTAGTGGACTTGTCAAATGCTATAAGCACAATCATATCTACAAACACCTCATCTGGATCAACAATTTACCACAAAAAAGTTTTGTCTTTGAGGCTCAGTAAGATGTTAGTTCTAGACCAGTGATACAAGCAACAACACAAATGAGCTCCAGGAGGAAGCTAATTAATGTCTCATGTCAATAGTATTCTCAACTGTGTAATTAAAGTGTGCATGTGAGAGGACTTTCCTCCCTGTGTGTGTCTTTGTACCTCAGTGGATTCTCATCTCAAAACAGTCTTATGCAATGTTGTTTTCTTGCAAACTTTATTTTCTACATTGTAAACAATACACTGAAAGTATACTTTCTGTTTAATCAGTTATTTACGTGTCACATCTTAACAGTTGTGTCTGTAGTGAAGCTGAGATCTTTGTTCAGTTTTACAGGTTTGTGAAAGATAAAATACGAATGCAGTGAAGTTGTCAAAAGAAATGAACTCTGTGATGACAAGAAGACATAAAACACAAAAAGAAGGCCTAAAGCCTCACTGGACATCTTTGTTTATGGAGGTCAGTACAACACGGTTCTGTGCTGTCCGAGATAATGTCTTCCACAAAAATAAAAGGGCACAAGTCCACAGCTATTCATTTTGATGAATACTTGTTTTTATGTTCCCAGTGTATATATTTAAAAAGTTAGCACAAACTTTAAAAGCATAAATTTGTCTTACACATCCTTTTTTGATCAAGACACAAAAAACATTTTAAAAAATCCAATGTCATTTCTTTTAATGTGTCTTAAAAATCATTAAAGCAACAAATACTCACATTAAAGCAGCTGTAACCGGCAAATCTAAGTCAATTTTAAATCATAACAGTTGTTATTGTCCATGTGTCAGCCAAAATCTGTTCACTTGTCGAAATTTTTCCTCTTTCAAATTAGTTTTTAAATAGTTTTGTAACATTTTAGGGTGATCCATTGTTGCCTCTTTTGCTTCCTTTTCCCAGAGACTGCCATCATCATTCTCCCCCAGAATACAATTACAGTATTACACTCACATGGCCTATACTAAAACCACAGATCCTACAAATAACTAGAGTAATCATAAAGACCAGAGGCAGACATTGTCCAGTAAGTAAATGGGCCTCACAGTTTATGCTGTGAAGAAATCCACTCAGATTAAACACTTGCTGTGTGATGAGAGACCGTCATTAGACACTGGGGATATTAACGCTCCTTTCTCAGTATCAATTTAGGCGCACATTGGGGTTTGTTGAAGTGCAGTCGTTTACTCTCGCGGGATTTATAACCCATTAGCATTATTAAATCAGTGGTTCTCCCAATAAGCCTTCATGTGTGGAGTGTTTCATGCTTTGCAAAGCATGGGAAGTATTTCTCAATTGACCAATTTAATGGTGAGTACGAGAAATACTAGGACCCATCTACTGTAAAAAAAAAAAAAAAAAGTAATGATGATGATGTAATCGACTCAAATGGATAACACGCCGTCATTACAAGGCGGATGGACAGTAAGAAATCTTTTAAAGCGCTGAACCTGCAGGTGACTCAGAGCAGATTGCCATGCTGTTTGAGAAAGGCAAGTGCACGCTGGTAGAATTAACTAAAGAATATCTTGTGCTTACATTTTACTTCTACGCATATCACTACAATTTACGATCTTGATTCACTCAATAATTTTAAGGTTTATTTGTCCTATACTAAATGTAATGTAGTATAGACCTGAAGGCTGTGCTTTAAGACAAATGTGAAGAATAATCTGTAGAAAAAAGAAATGCAGATGTCAAGCTAGATAGATAATCGACTCTTAAAAGGTTTTCAAAATTAAATAATTGCCATTCAGATAACAGAAGTACTTTTTTATTCAAATGTTTGAGATGAGGCTAAAGTCTTTCATATATTGTGTTCAATCCTTTTCAGCGTTTTAAGGAAATTTCTGCGTCATCATGCCAGAAGGAAATCACAGCATTGTGACAGAATTCTTCCTCACTGGATTCCCAGGACTTCATCCAGAGTACTACAGTCTCACCTCAGCTGTATTGTTCTTGTGGTATTTGTTTATTTTGATAGGAAATGCTGCAGTTCTTCTTTTATTTGCAACCAACCGCTGCCTTCACAAGCCGATGTATTATATAATTCTAAACCTGTGTGCGTGTGATATTCTCTTTAGCACGACCACTTTACCGAAGATCATCAGTAAGTATTGGTTTCAATCAGGGACCATTTCATTTAATGCTTGTTTTGTTCAAATGTACTTTGTTCACTATCTGGGCACAGTGAATTCTCTTGTCCTCTTCCTGATGGCTTTTGATCGGTATTTGGCCATCTGCCATCCTCTCAGATATACAAATGTTCTGACAACATCCACTATCTACATTCTCAGCTTTACTGTGTGGATTGTTTCCATAGCAGCAGCTTTAATGTTAGTTATTAGAGCGTACCCTCTTCCTTACTGTGCCTCAAACATAATCAATCATTGTTACTGTGATCATATTGGTATAACACTGCTGGCCTGCACTGACAGGGCCCCTTATGGTTTTCCTGCTTTTGTGCTAGCAATGTTTGCCCTAGTGGGACCTCTAGCATTTATTGTTTTCTCATATTGCTCGATAATTATAGCAGTACGAAAGATAGCAGATCTGCAAGGTCGCCTAAAATCTCTGTCCACGTGTAGCCCTCAACTGATCATAATCTCCCTCTATTATTTACCAAGATGTTTTGTCTATTTAGCCAGCAATGTCGGCATCACCTTCAGTCCGGATGTGCGAATAGTAACAATTATGCTATACAGCCTTTCACCTCCCATGATTAATCCACTTATCTACTGCCTCAGAGCTAAAGACATGAGAGAATGCTTGCAAAAGCAGTTCCACAGAAGAACCACTCCACATAAAGTTTAAACAATTTGTAACTAATACATTAGGGCATTATTCAACATTTAAACATGCCTCAATTCAAATGAAAGCGTTGCAATAGGGAGGCAAAAAGACTGTTGCACTATATAAAGATGTATCCCATGTCACAAAACAAAGCCATGTATATGGATCATGACAAAGTTCAATGATTTCTGTTGCAGGGTAAAAAGGAACACAGTCTAAAATTGGTTTGTTAGCATGTGATTCTTTTAGTGAGCCCAGTAATTTCTGTCAGCCTGACCTTTCAAATTGACATGTGTGTTGTGTATTTTATTGCAAAAGCACAAAGGGATAACACAGAATGGTGGTATATTTTAAACCTTCAAACATTTGTTGTATTTAAAGATGCAAAATGAAATAAATTAGTTATATTCAGGCCTACACCTACTTGTCACAGCTTAAATCTGGCACACACAGTTTAACAGTTTGTTGTGGTGAGGACAAATCTGAAACTCTTCTTGTTTAAAAAAAATATACCTGACAACACCTTTTGACTTCCAACAAAGACAGACAAACTAGTTTTCTCACAATAAAACCTCCTGATCCAAGAAATATACACTGTCACTCAACTGTCTTTTCAACAAGGAAATTATCTGTTATCATGTTGTTCATTACACATGTTTATTTTTTATTTTATCTTTTTTTAAAGAAATGTATTGGATTGTAATCAGAAAAATAACTGATGGTAATGTCTGTCTCACACTATGCGGTAAAAAAATAATAAAAGACAATGAAAGTGGGACAAAGCGGACATATGTTCTGAGCAGTTATTAATGTCATTTTGAAATGTTTTTTTTTTTTATAACATAACTGATACAGAAGATACCTGATGAATCACCACCTTATCACGGTGGAGGGGTTTGAGTGCGACCAGCTCTTTACCCTTGCAGAGCTGCTGAGGGGGGCATGGGAATTCGACCTGCCAGTCCACATGTGCTTTGTGGATCTTGAGAAGGCCTATGACCATGTTCCCCAAGGGACTCTGTGGGGAGTGCTGAGGGAGTATGGGGTACCAGGCTCGCTGCTATGAGCCACATGGTTCCTGTACAACCAAAGTGCGAGCTGTGTCCGCATTCTTGGCAATAATATAAGTATAATAATAAGTCGGACATGTTCCCATCTCGGGATGTTGTTCACAAGTGATGGGAAAATGGGGCACGAGATGGACAGGCGGCTCGGTGCGGCGTCAGCAGCAATGCGGGCGCTGTATCGGACCTTCGTGGTGAAGAGAGAGCTGAGCTGCAAGGCAAAGCTCTCGATGTACCAGTCCACTACGTCCCAACCCTCATCCATGGTCACAAGCTTTGGGTCGTGATCAAAAGAACGAGATCGCGGATGCAAGCAGCCGAAATGAGCTTCCTTCACAAGGTGGCTGGGCTCAGCCTATGAAATAGGGTGTGGAGCTCGGACACCCAGATGGAGCTCAGAGTAGAGCCGCTGCTCCTTTGCGTTGAAAGGAGCCAGTTGAGGTGGTCTGGACATCTGATTCGGATGCCTCCAGAGAGGCTTCCTCTGGAGGTCTTCCGAACATGTCCACCTGGGAGGAGACCCCGGGCAGACCCAGAACCCGCTGAAGTGATTATATCTCTCGGCTGGCCTGGGAACACCTCGGGATCCCTCAGGCAGAGCTGGAAAGAGTAGCCAGGGGGAGGGAAGTCTGAAGTGACCTGCTCCGCCTAATGTCCCCACGATCTGACCCTGGATAAGCGGAAGATATTGGATGGATGGATGGATGGATGGATGGATGGATGGATGATACAGTGTCTAGTGCACAGACACAATAATAAAAAAGGAAGTTAAGAGAGAAAACACATAATTTTTAAACAAGTGTTAGGGGTAGAGTTCAATCTGAATGTGGTATTTAGCAAAGTGCAAATAGTTGGGTTTTATGAATATTTTTTTTATACTAATGTTTTACTATTTCTTTCTTTTCCAGAAATATAAACTCATATCTGTTAGACCAAAAAGAAGCAGTGAGCACAGGCTGCTTTAAATAGAAGTACATTGTTACTTAGTGTAGATATTTATTTATTCTTTCACAAATATATTCGCCTGTTAGTTGCAGCAGGGTAGGTACAAGCTAAGATTGTTATGACCACTTAATGCTGCTGCCTCTCAAATACATGAACAAACACTTGGCTCTCTGTACATATCTAAGAGGAATATGATACTTAGCAGTCAATTTTTAAAGGGAATGAAAGATTAACAATAGAGGTTGATTTTAGATGACATCGGAACAGCACATTAGAAAAATATCCTCCAAAAAGAAGATGAAGCTAACATATTCAGAATATTTCATAATTCACAAATTCAACACTCTCATTATGTATGATGTACTCTTAAGCTTCATCTCTTATTCATCTAAAGTAATCATAGGTTTCTTGCTTTTAGAAATTTCTGCCTCACTATGACACGAAGAGAGCTCTGCTAAGATAGGATTTTGAAGCAAAATTCATAGAACAATACCGTTTGTTCAGAAACTTTGACCTTCCTGGTGCCCCTGCTTTCATCAGCGTACATAATAAAGATGAAAGGCAACAGGACGCAGACTTGTGGCAAGATGGTGAGATAACTAGCGTCTGAGAGACAACCATTTACAAACACCATCTGCTCGCTATCAGCAAGGAAGTCGTAATGGAACCTGGCGAGGCAGATTAAAAGACAAAAGCATATTTTCAATTTAAAGATGCGACTAAATCGGACTGAATGCTGATAAAAAGTCTGCACCTTGGCTAAAAAAAAACTTGTGGCCTCTCTAAGGGTTTATAAGGATAAAGCAAGCTTTGCATAATTCATGAATCGCTCTGCGTAATAAGAAAATCATAGTGAACTGAGGTTTTTTTTATCAGCAGTTGTCAAAAAATGTCCTTAACCTTTTTCCCAAAGAATACATCTTCTTCAGAAAAGGTATAACATTAGAGTGGGCTTGGTTTATAAAATTAATTCTGATTCTCATTTACTTCAAAGTCAATTTGACAGCACCATTAAAAAAAAAAAAAAAAAAAAAAAAACTTCTTTCATGCCATTGTAAAATAAGTTTTTATTAAATTATCTGTACAACCTTTGTAAAGGCTGGTGGAAAAAAATAAAAATTTCAAGCTGACAGAAATTTGACTGTATGAAGAATCTGTGGAGAGAACTCCCTGTATGTGTATTTCCACTATAGAAAAGCTCATAGCAATATGTTATATTAATATTGTCATGGTAGGGAAAGACCAGATGTATTAACAACAGTTGCATTTCACTTTAGGCTGTCTACAATTTCTGAATTCCAATTCCTATTACCTTGACAGGAAATGCTTTACTGAACATTGTTATGCTACAAAAAAAGTTAGAGGTCAGGATGGATGAGTGGGTCCACAGAGCACAAAATTAAGGTTAGAGAAAGATCACCATTCTAATGAAAGAGTGAAAAACTTTGTCTACTGTACTGTCCTTCAAAAATGGTTGCTTTTTCAGGCTTTCTGTAACCTTAATCAAAAGCTTAGCGTTTATTACCAGAATAATAATGCTCTAGTTAGCAGGCATGAATACTGTAACATAAATATTGTGCAATACATAAATACAGTAACTATGATTTTTTTTTATACATGCATTAAATATAAATGTTTCCTTACACTGATGCAAATTGTATGAGGAGTGTGCGTAACCTTTCGAAGAAAAAACCTTTGATATACATTGTGATCCTGTGAGGATACGTCAGGTCAGACTTGATAAAAAGCTGATACTACCTGCACTGTAATGAGATTTGGATACAGAGCGACACCTAAGAGCTGCATACAGACAGAGTGTGAGACAGCACTTGAATGTTTTCTTGCAAAACCTCCTACATATTTCTCACTTACCTCTGTTCAATGATATAATATGCTGGTGTGTTTTATTCTCTAAATAATATTTTAAAGGTCTGATAACTATTTTTTATCTTGCAGGTCTTCATTTCATGTCTTTGATCTTACTGTAATCTTAAACTATGATCACTAATTTTACAAAGATGAGAGGCTTCTTCATCCTTGGATTCCCTGGACTTTCACCGCAGTATTACGGACCTGTGTCGGCTCTGCTTTTTTTCATCTACCAAGCTATTGCAATAGGAAACATTTTCATTTTAGCATTTGTTGTCTACGAGAAGTCCCTGCAAAAACCAACATATCTGGTCTTTTGTCACCTGGCACTGAATGACTTAACATTTGGCACCGTTACTCTGCCTAAAATCATTGCAAAATATTGGTTTGGTGATGGCATTATAACGTTTTATGGATGTTTTGTACAGATGTTCTTTGTTCATTATTTAGGATCAGTAACTTCTTTCATGCTGTTGGTAATGGCTCTTGATCGATTCGTCGCCGTATGTATTCCGCTGCGCTATCCTGTTCTGATCACAAACAACATCATATCTGTGCTGTGTGGGTTTGCTTGGTTCATACCTCTGCCTCTGATGGTAGCGATTGTCCTACATGCCCTCACTTTACCTTACTGTAAATCAAATGTCATTGCTCAGTGCTACTGTGACCACATTTCCATAACAAGTCAGGCGTGTGGAGAGGATGTTACAATAGTTGCAGTCACTGCACTGTGTGTTGCCATGCTTTGTCTCTTGCTTCCACTTGCATTTATTGTATTTTCCTACATTTCCATTTTTGTGGCCATTGTGAGAATTTCTAATGCAGCAGGACGCAGAAGAACCTTATCAACTTGCACTCCACAAATATTGATCACATGTCTCTTTTACCTGCCCAGATGTTTTGTTTATGTGGCCAATACGGTCGGGTTTTCTTTCAGTTTGGATGTTCGCATTATGTTGATATTGTTGTACAGTCTTTTTCCTGCTGCTGTTAACCCAATCATATACTGTTTTAAGACCCAAGACATTAAGCAGATGTTAATGAAGAGGCTCAGGAAAAGTCAAATTGGAATAGAGATAAAATTCTCTTCTTAATGTAAATACGACAGATAAGGCACAACTCACATGATAAGCTGAAAGCATCGGTTCTTTACCATCTAGGCTTTTTTCTAATATATAAATTATTAGATATTTTTGTCTTTTGTTTCCTATTCTATAAGCTAAACAATTGTGGCTTTATTAGCCCTGTCATCTAATGTTCAGAAAAATAACCTAATTAGTGAGCTCCAATAGTCAATTAATGCACATAAAATAATGATTTTCTTTTTTTTAGTTAATCACTTCAGTTACTTTACATCTGTGTAACTGTCGTAATTTTACTGCCCACACATTGTGTCTCCATCTACACAGAGTAAACAGCTTCTATGTCAAAGCAGGTTACAAATTGCAGACAGAAAGAAAAAAATATATGATTGCAGCTTAAGGGCCTGTGAGATTTGGCAGCCTGACTGAATTCAGCCTGACTGAATTCAGCAGAAGGAGTTAGAAGTGGAGTATACGATTAGAACGGAATACATTTTTTGTCAAATCCAGTGAGTATCTCCTTGTGGCCCACTGGCTGTTTGTTCTGTGTGTAGTGAAAAAAATAATCTGATGTTGTACACAGTTCTGGCTAAATGAACAACAAACAAAGCGGCTTGGACATACTGATATTTCAGCGTGCACTGTGCAAGTTCAAGCTCAGGCAGAAAACTTCTAATAACTGACTGATGAGATTGTCATCATACCTCCATTTGTAAGATAAATGCTTGTATCTATTTTTAAATAGCTTTGCACAATTCATATGTTTGTGTTCTTGGCTGTAAATGCTTTTAAAATACTGTCATGTTTATACAGTGGAAATGATGAGCCAGTAGGAAGAAAAAATTAATGTTCTACACATTTTCTAAATTATGATAGGATTTGCGATATAATAATTAAAGTCTTGTTTTTACTTACACAAATGGCTGTATTTTTTTGTTTCACTCTCCATTTTGCCCTAATCAAAAGTGTAAACAGTTTAGACAAACATCTGTTGCTCTACCCATCAGAACCCATCACTTTTTTAGATTTGCCTTTCTCTAAAACAAAGATTTCTAAATAATATAGTTCACATCTGCATTTTTTCAGGACGCTTACAAAGAAACAGGATTGAGCAATTTCTTTAGGGGGATGCAGATATTTTGATCACAAAATATTGTCATCTTCACAAGGGAACCACTGGCATAACCAAACCAAGCCAGAAAGCTCCAGCTACACGGCGTAGCAATTAAACAAGTTGCAATTTTGTTAGCACTGTGTAAATAAAACAAAAGGGAACATGAAGCAACACCTGGATTTTTCCACACACGTTATTTTACATTTAAATGGAGTGTGACACAACATCAGTACTTATCTGTGATGAAACAGCAATGAGATGTGGGGCTGATTTGGCTGCTGTTCAGATGCTCCTCTGCTGTATCACTTGGCAATGTGTCCATTGAACAGTCCAGTCGTCTTTTTATGCGCATATTATGACTAAAAAAACAACTTGTTTTCAGTAAACAATTTTTCAAATCTGGCAGCAGTATCTCTCAAAAATTCCCACAGATGCATTCACAGCAATTAAAATGACTACACTTGAATAGGTTAGCTGCTGTTATCTAAAACTAAGGCATGAGCATATAACGCAATAACGTGGCTGCAATTTTCTTCAGTGTTTTTTCCATCGTGTTCCAAATTGTCTTTCTTAGCAAGAAGCCCACAAAACAAATGAAAAAGAACACTATTTCCAACAGAAGAACATCTATACGTATCTAAAAGCTGCTAATATGTTGCTGAGATCATGATTAGAAATATCTACTGAAGACAATAAAGCAGCCTTTAAATCCACAACAGAAAGTTCTACCTATTACGTACTGTGAACTTTGTATAGATTAATTTTGTTGGGCACAATGAATAAACTCCACACTTTACTGTCAGTGTCACTGGTGTACTCTTTGGTTTTTTTTTGTGTTCTTCTTGTGTATTTCTAAATGCCTACTGTGCTTCAGTGTCCTCTGTTTGTCCATGTGCGTATTCTGTGTCTCTGTCTTTTCAGTTACTTCTAGTATTATGTGAAGCTTCTTACCTTCTGTGTCTCCAGTTCTTTTACTTCCTCCCTTTGTGTGTTTTCCCACTTTTCTGATGGTCTGCTTTGTCCTCAGTGGTATCACCTTTGTTTACTTATCAGCTCTCTGTGTATATACACAGCACTATTAACAACATTAAAACCACCGACAGGTGAAGAGAATAACATTGATCATATCATTATAATTCATTGTTCTGCTGGAAAAAGTTGAGTCTTCGTGTGAATATTACCTTGACACCCATCTAAACATTGCTGTTAACCAAGCACACGGCTCTTTGGCAACAGCACTCTCTGACTCCAGCGGCCTCCCCCAGCAGGACAATGTGCCCCACCACACTGTAAGAACTGCTTCGAAATGGATCAAGAAATGCAACCAAAACCCCAACATGCTGACCCAGCCTCCAAACTCCCCAGATCCCCATCAAATCCTACCATATGACCCACATGACCCAAAGGATCTGCTGCCAACACCTCAGGACACCCCCAGAATGTCTATGCCTGTGCCCCTACGAGTCCAGACTGCAGACGTACACAATATTGTGCAGGTGGCCATTATGCTGCATCAATGTTGTAATGCTATAATTGGTGTATAGTCCTGTGTAACCAGTATTCGCTGGTGTATAGTGTAAGGTAAAGAGCAGAAGTGGACTGAATTCAAATAACTTTATGGACAGCTGGAGCTGACAGAGTGGACAACCACAGTGTAACACAAACACAAGACAAAACTCTAGATTTTAACAGTTTATACTGAATTGTAATGTATGGTAAACAAACAAGACAAGTTCAGGTAATGATATATATTATTACAGAAATAAAAACAATTGAAAGAAAGAAAGAAAAAACAAACAAACAGGTATTTCTCAGAGTGTTTGTAAGAAGCATTGTTCTCAATTCCTCTCCAGTGTGGCGTTAATATGAAGAGAGGTTAGTAGGTTTTGTCTCCAGAGCTGCATGTGTGTGTACAGGTCAATCCTACCGCACTCAAGGTAGCTGGTGAAAATAGGAGGATTCCTTCGCTCATAGTTGTCCTATCATTGCCAACAGGTTCAGCACCTTGTGGGCTGGACTCGCCATCCAGTACTGGAATATTTTTTTTCCTCTGAAATCTTGTCTCAAATCTCTGCAGTCTTCTTTGATGTTTCTGAGATCAACTCTAAGGTCTCAGGCCGCCTGAAGAACAACTCGAAACGTGGCCTATAAATAAGATCAGTAGAAAATTACCTCTATGTTAGTGCTATGAGCATTTCTTCTCATTGAATAGAGCTTATTACATCAACTTATTGTTCAAGTGTCTGTTCTGCAACATGGATAATTCATCAGTTTCAAAGTCACTGATCACTGTCGTTTTATTCAATAACAATTAATTCTGAGAACTAATGATTTAAGCACAAACTCACTTGAAGCTATGCAACTTAAAGGAAAATATAAAACAACTGATGCACATTTAGCTGTAGGAAACACCGGTGCCAACAGTGGAGCTTAGTCGCAAAGTACATCTAAACTAGCAAACAACAACAAGCAAAGCGAATTGGCAGTAGCTCTTAAACTCTTTACAAATCCAACATTCAAGTCGCGAACACTTTGAGCATATATAACAGGGATTTTACATGGAACTAATTAGCATTTAAGCTAGCGAACTTTTATAGCGCTAACGGTTTAGCCTCCGCTAATCGGGTTTACCGTGGCGAAAGTTAGCATCATGGCTAGCAGACTTTTAGGCCGCAGTTTGCTACGCGTCCCGGGCTAGAAATTGACTCAACTCACCGGTGCAATGAATTGGCACAATGGCGACCGGCGTCAGTGTTTTTACCGGAACAAAACGTCGTCTTTTTCTGTCCTTACTTCAGTAATGAAGCGCACATCCGATTTTGCACTTTGCCCTTTGACCTTTAGCGGGGTTACCCAGGAAACGGGCTGAAGCATCTGATTGGTCAATGTAAATGTAACCCGCTTTGCTCTTCACAGAAATATTATTGCATTTAAATCTGACTTTATTGACTTATATGTGTCATATTAAACAATATTTATTAAGAGGTTATTTGCGTTTGCTTAACATCAACACAGATATGAATTTATTTTTGCTCATTTAACAACTCTGGGCTACATCTGTGTACTTTGTTCATTCACCTGCCTGTTTACTCAGCTGTGTTTGTTCCATGTGTGTCTTGGTTGTCTCCTGTTTTTTTTGTTTCCTGAGTTGTTTTTACTTACCTTTTGAATTTACCTTTACTTTGACATGTCTCTTTTGTTGCCTGCTTGGACTCCGCAGCCATGTTTTGTTGTGATTACCTTCCCTGCCAGCCTTTGTTACTTCGCTTCCTGTAAGTCTATTAAGATTAGCTTTCTGCTTATTTCATTCGCCCGTGTGTTAGGTGTGTGTGTGTTTGTGTCCTTTACCTTGAATTGACAACATTTATCTTACGTTTGTCTTCTCAGCAGCAGTTTTCTTGCTACTGCTCATTGGGGCGTATCTTTTTCTCTCTGCAGGACAAGAAATTTTCTCTGCTGGAGAAAAATATCCAATACCGACTGAAAATATTCTCACTCCAGTCATGGATGGAACTATGCTGTAGGCAGAAGTCGACTAATAAGTGCTCTTGTAAACCAGTTTAGAAAGCAATTTAGTCCAGTTGATCAGATGGCAAGTGTTGAAGTGTGTTCGTTCTTTTGAGATAGAAGACAAACTACTTCTCTCATTCAGTGGTATTTATTCTGCAATATAATATTTTACTTGATCGAGGATCCATTACTGATTCAGAAAATCAGTCAACAAGCTGTTACTCTGTCACCCACTTCCCCAACAGTGGATGCAGCTTCATACAATCATATGCATTTTATTCAGTAATGTGCAAGGTGATTGGCTACTAAACACAAACATTGAATTTAAATAGTAAAACGTGAATAGCAATCTGGTTGGCGAGGAGCCGTGGTTTAAACTTAGCTCTCCCTTTGCTGGTGCACAGATATGTCCATATCTCTTGGCACCCGATCCATCCAATCCACAGCATCCACACCCTGTAAAGAGAAACCTCCCCAAAAGCATCCTCCGGTCCCTGGATGTCAGTACTTTTCCTTTGTCTTAACTACGATTAGTTTACAGGGGGATGGTATTTTTGTGGGTGCAATGTGCTGATAAGTCTGTGTGTGTGCAGCTAAATTCCTTCTAACTGACCTTGCTTAACCTCCCTGAGTTTGGTCTCTTTGACCTGCTTGAATCTTTCTTTCTCCTCTTCAGATCAACACAACTCATGCCTTAACAGACATTAGATGTGTCAGTGTGATTTCTAAGCTATCAGTGCATTTAAAAGATTATATATTCCAACACAAGGCACCCTTTCTTAGTTGTTATTTTATCAGCTGCTTTAACAACAAACAGACAGTGAAGACCACAAGCCTCTGTTACTCTTAAATCCTCAGGAAGTCAGGATAGCTATTTTTGCCAGCAAAGCACCAACTAGTGACAGCTAAAAGACAGCTAGGTCTTGTGTCAGACTGTTGCCCCCTTTAGGTAGGGTTTAATTTTGTGTTCAAACCAGTAAAAATAAAGTAGACTCTGTGAATAAACTCAGCTGTCTCATATCTCCATGATAAACCAGTTCCACATAATACTGTAGCTGCATATCTGTCTGTAAGCCACCCATGACAAAACAATTATAACTATAACAATAATTTTACTAATCTCGTCCCGTGTCCAGTCAAATTATATAAGGTTTAGATCCAACAAGCAATGCAATAAATTGGTCCCTAGTTCCTTCTGCATACATTTCAAATTTGAAGTAGTTAGCCATTTTGACAGCTCTTTCATTTTTTACAAATGGTTTCACCTTATACATGCTCCAAGCTTGGTGTTTTTCTATTGTTAGTCTGAATTTAAGTGATTATGTTATACACTTATGTAGCACTTCTTCATCCTTGGATTTCCAGGCCTTTTGTCAGACTGTGATGAACCCGTTTCTGCTCTGCTTTTTGTGCTCTTCTTCATTATAGCCGTAGGAAATATTTTAATTTTCACAAAGTCATGCAGCTTTGGTAATACAGTTGACAGCTGGGCTCCAGTACGCTGAGAAGATGATGAAACCTTTTATTATCTACAATTGACAATGGCTGGCCGTCAGAAGAAAAGTACTGGCTAAGAGCTCCTGTCATTTTCACAGATTGTGGGTTGTTTCTGGACATTTTCTTTCATTTCTCCTGTAGCTTTCTGTAAAGGTGGGTGTTGCTTTTCCCCCACTCCTTGCATTAGCAAACTTCTTGAACTCTGTGCAGCACTAGTTCTTCAGATGTTTTATCAAAATGCCTGGATTAAAAAGTCATTTCTCTTAACAGTTTAGCAGAGCCAAGGTTGCAGTCTGCTTTACTTTTGTCATCACTGCTTATCTTAACATATTTCCCACGGCTGACATTGCTCCTCCTATGCCTACCTGCTCAACAAACAAGAGCTTAGTGTCATGTTGCTGTAAAGCGGTATCAGGTGTAGTCGTACTGGAGTAGTTTCACAAATGTAAAATACAAATACATGAGCGCAGGTTTGGACCAGTACAGATTAGATTAGATTAGATAGAACTTTATTGATCCCTTTGGTAGGGTACCTCAGGGAAATTGTTGTACTAGCAACAACACAACACCAACACAACATTAGTAATAACAACAATAACAACAATAACAATAATAACAACAACAATAATGGATACAGTAACAGTGCCAAAGTGCGATGATGACAGTGTGCAGAGGGTGGCTGGCATCGTCCATGATGGCCAGCAGTTTGTTCAGTGTCCTCCTCTCTGCCACTGTCACCAGGAAGTCCAGTTTCATGCCCACTGTAGAGCTGACCCACCTGATTAATTTGTCCAGCCTCGATGTGTCCCTTTTAGATGTGCTGCTGCCCCAGCACACCGCGGCGTAGAAAAGGACGCTAGCGACCACCGACTGGTAGAACATCCGCAGGAGCTTCCTGCAGATGTTGAACGACTGGAGCCTCCTCAGGAAGTTCAGCCTGCTCTGTCCCCTCTTGTACAGGTAGTCTGTGTTGCATGTCCAGTCCAACTTGTTGTCCAGCCACAGCCCAAGGTACTTGTAGTTTTGTACAAGATACTGGTATCAATGCATCTTTAATTACTCAGAAGAGCTTCTGTATTAGGTGTAGATGGTGAAACCAAAAATATAAGTCCCCTTAGGATTACTATGACCTTGATGGCTGAGAATCCACACAGACATAACTACTCTATTATATAGCTGGATGGTTTGTGTAGCTGGCAGATATAGTGAGGTACAATTTGAGTGCTCTGGTTTGAATTGATGTTGTAATGTGGTACAGTTTCTGTACCTGCTTATACACTTTTCATAACTAAAAACCTTATCTGCAAATTAATATCACCTCAAAAACTAGATAAAATGCCTCATGAATAAAAATAATATAGTGGAGCAAAGATAATACACGGTCATGGCCCTAATTACAATTTCTAAAAATATCTGCCACATGCACTCGGATCATTTATCCCATGTCATTCATGATCCTATCTCCTCTACCAGACAGTCTCTTGTGTCAAACAAACAGCTAATCATTGTAGATATGTATGAACCGATTTCTGCTCCTGTTACATGCACTGAACGTGACTTTTCTCCAGTATTACAATCTAACAGCTTTCGCAGCACAATCTTGAGACATTTCGCTGTGTATTTCAGAATGTAAGTCTGTGAGACACTTCAAAAGCTTTGAGTGCACGTGGGATTTGGCCCCTCCGAGTTTTCAACTCTACACACATCATTAGACCAGACTCTGCTGGAAACCGTTACAATATAAAGTGTCACAGACATCAAGATTGTTATTGGAACCAGATCAGAGTCGGAGCTGAACGGGTGAGATATTCTAGTGATATGTGACATGCAGGGCTAAGTAATCATTGCTATTTCTTGTTGAATCTCCTACAGGTACTATATGTTTTTATCTTTTTTTTTTTGATACGACTACATCAGTATAGAAAATGAAGTGCTATCTATTCTGTAACTCTTTTCTAAATTCACTTCCAGGCTTGTTTGCTTGATTTTATTTCCATCTTTGTGTGAGTTTTTTGTTTCTCTGTACGTGCGAGTATGAAATCCACAAATACAACAAATATAAAAGACTTTATTATCATTGGATTCCCTGGACTTTTACCAAAGTATTATGGACCGGTGTCTGTTCTGCTTCTTATTGTTTTTCTTGCTATCGTGATCGGAAATGTTTTTATTTTAACCGTCATCCTGCTTGAGCGGACCCTTCACAGACCGACATACTTGATCTTTTTTCACCTGGCAATGACAGATCTTGCATTTGGAATCGTGACTCTTCCAAAAATCATTGCCAGATACTGGTGGAATGACATGATATCGTCATTCAACGTCTGCTTCACACAAATGTATTTTGTCCATTCACTGGGAGCTATTCATTCTTTGATTTTGCTAATGATGGCTTTCGATCGCTTTTTTGCCATTTGGTTTCCGTTCAAATATCCTCTTGTGTTCACAAACAAAAGTGTTTCTATTGCTTGTTGCCTGTGCTGGGTTTTAACATTCATACGTATGATGGGGATTGTGCTTCATGCTTCAACGTTGCCTTACTGTGACCTTAATATCATCATGCAATGCTACTGCGATCATATATCAATAACTCGGCTGGGATGTGGTGAAAGAGTCTCATATGTTAAGCTTGTTGCAGTGGGAAATGCAATGGTGACGCTCTTAGTTCCTTTAACGCTCATCATTCTTTCTTACTTTTTTATCATTGTCGCTGTTTTAAGAATGCCTCATACTCAGAGACAATCCAAAGTCTTGTCCACCTGCGCTCCACAACTCTTTATAACCTGCCTGTATTATGTGCCAAGATGCTTTGTTTACCTAGCAAACAATTTAGGGTTCCAATTTAGTCTCGTTGTTCGTATTATTATTACAATGACGTACAGCCTCGTGCCCGCTGCGGTTAATCCAGTGATTTACTGTTTCAAGACGAAGGATATTAAACAGGCTTTGAGGCAGAGATTTAATAACAGAAAAATAAGCAATGCACTCAGATACGATAAGTAAAATAAGTAAACAGATAAGTAAAATATAAAGTAGTATAGTTTACTTCACCAGCAATGAGAAAACATACAAGGGGTGTCTGTGCAAGACTGAAAATATTCATTTATTTTATTTATTACAATTTATTATGTCTTGTGCAGACTGACATAGATCTGTTAAACTTGTTTTATGCCAAAAAACAACAAATAAAACACGACAAAAATAAATAAATGACAGATGTTCAAGTCAAATGTTGTTTTATTGTTATTGTTTTCATTTGTAAGTTAATTTTCAGTTTTCTGTAGGGGTTTTATTTATTCACTCATGTCACTACCTTCATATTTTTCTTTTAACATATATATTTTTCCAATCATAATTTATCTGCTAAAGCTTCCTGTATGCAAATTAACACAGAGAATAAAACAAAGACAGTGCCGAGTAGAATCCTGCAGATTAGTTTGATAATAGATCAAATTAACTTGTTTTCTGACCAAATTTGTTTCTGTCTGTAGTTTTTAAAATCTAAAACTGAGATGTTCTGCATCTAAATGCAAAACAAACCCGCCGCAAACTAAGAATATCTGTCTACATGTTATTAAAAATATACCGTGCTTCGTTAAATCTCGCTCCTTGTATTTGCAAGTGTGCATGTTGGAAGTTTTCAGCACTTTTAGATGATGTTTGACAGGATAATATTAACCTGCATGTTTTGAAAGAGGTATATTGAAAAAAATGTACTAAGAGTAAAACCTGGGACAGACTAAACAGAACAGCTTGGAATCTAAAATTGAATTTGACCACTAGGTGGAACCAAACCATCAGGGTATGTTTGATAGAGCGAACACTGGCTGCAACACTAAGAGTCCTTAAATTAGAAGATGAAGAAAAATGTGTTGGTAAAATGTTGTAGTTTTGAAAGATGTTTTTGTTGTTATTCAGCCTGTTGATCGGCTCTCTGGTAAAAAGAGCAAAAAAGTAAAAAGATCTTAAAATCGAACGTGTTTAGTTGATTATGATTTTCTTTACCAGCTTAGTGAATGGCATCAGACTTCACTTTTATCCCTTCATAAAGATTTGCCATTTTTAGAGTAAACTTTCTTTGCAAAAACTCACTGTCCTGTATTTGGTTTTAAATATATTTGTTTACAAAAGCTCAGGTGACGACATTTTCTTTTGAATATGGGAGCATTAAAGAATTTAAAGATCCAGGGTATGCACATACTCATTTATTTATTTCAGTATTCTGCATTTGAGATGATTATGTTGAGCAATTTGACTGGCCACATGGAAGTCTCTATTTGTCCTGCACATGGACACACTACTGCTTAATAGTATGTTTTAATTAAGTCGCGCACACACACACAAAATACAAGCAGTCTGGTTACAACCAAAGCTGTGCACACCAAGCATTTAGAAAATTTTCAAAAAAAGCAGCATTTTCAGCTTCACAGTTAAACGATTTCAGAGCATTTGATTCCAATATTAAAAAAAAAAAAAAAAAAGAAACACTGAAAATCAAAACAGAAATACAACAAAATGTACAGAATCAGTTTAATTTCTGGGAAACATAAAGTTAATAGAGGCAATGTATCATAAATAAATAAATAAAACACAGCGACAAGGACGGATTGAAAGAAGGCTTTGATCAATGTAACATGTACGTGGCGAAAAGACTGTTTAAAAAAAAAAAAACAGAAATGAAAAGCTGATGCAACTAATTAAGATGTTGCGACTTGTACCGTTGCTAATGAGTAGTGTTTGAAGATAACAGGTCATCCTGTTCCTTCTCAAACTAGATATGAGTTGACAGATGTGTGTATGTGCATTATTATGTTTATATCAGATCTTTTCTGTATGTATTGTTTATACATTGCTTATTCTGTATTTTTATATATGTATATGGAGTTTGAGATAAATAAACTAAACTAAACTAAACTAAACTATTTCAGTTCTGCAAAGGATGCAGCCTCTCTGTTATCTTCGGTAAAAATACTTTCCCATTTGTGTTTTGATGAAGGTCATATAGAAATGTGCATGAAAATAATCTACAAGCAGCATCCTGCATATTCTGATGTCAAAATGACACAAACAGTCACCTAAAGACCTAATTAGTGCCATACAAACAAATTAGTTTGCCATTAACATCAAATGTTGCTGTCTTCACATGGGTTTTATATCTATATTTAAAGGGCATTATCAGATACACCCTCTGGCTCCTCTGAGGATGTAAAATTAACTTTGAACAGAAACGTCTTTAGAGTTTACCACCAATAAACTGACCAAGTAAACATGAAAAGAGGTTCAGTATAAATCAAAACACATCTTTCACTGCTGTTCAATACCAAGTCCAATTAAAAATATATGATGTCCATGTCATTCATTTATATTGTTAATCTATTTTGATAAGATACATTTAACAGTTTTATTACATCAGAAATATGTCCATAGTCTGTAGGTAGCGGACTGCTATATAATGACGATCAAATGATTTCCTCTATGTCGCTTTGCACATCATAGCTAAAACTGGATTCAATTGGTAGACGTGCAATATCCTCAAACACAGGAGCATAGCTGCTAAAAGGCAGGTGCATATGTAAAATATCTTCCCATTGCTCAAACATACCACAGGCAGTGCTTTCTGTTTTATCCTGACCTGCAGCAGAGAGGCAGCTTTGTTGTAAGAACGAGCTGACAGGCAGGACGCCTTGTTGCCTTAAATTGCAGGTTGGCAGGGATGACTGGTCATGTATATATTTCTTGCCACTGATGATAGAAAACTGCCCGTACTCTGACTCTGAGCAGGTGAATGTGCTGTCTGTTTCACTCTCTGAGGAGACTTCCATCCTCATGGTGGACTCAGTAGGTCCAGACTTCAGGGTTGCTTGATGTGGCATTGTTTGCTCCAGAGGAGCGTTTAGTTTGCTAATTTCTTCAGAAGTGAGGCACTGTATTGGCTCCAGGATCTCTGGGTGTAGGAATCTCTTAATGTAACAAGGCAGTGTCTGTCGGGGCTGCTCTGTATCAAGCTTAGTTAATAGATGCTGGTTTAGGAAAGCAACATTTGGAGGCTTTGTGGGGCTTTTTTCTTCACTGGAGGTGTCTTTCTTAAACCCTGCAAACAGCATCCTCAAATCCGTCCATTGTTTGGCGCCTGCTTTTACACATTTTGTGCTGTACAAATGCTTGTGCCAGCTGAGCTTCAGTGACGTATTGTCTGAGTGATATGCACTACAGATGCTGCCAATTTCATAGTACTCCAGCTCACTGTTTGGCACCTGCTGAGCACTGGACAGACTGGTGTCGCAGTAAAACTCCACACTTGACCTCCCTTGATCGACACCCACTGGTTCATGTTGATTCCCTTTTTCTGGAGACACAGCATCTGTGACCAGTACGTTGTCACCGTAACAAAAAGCCATGTTGTCGGTCCCCTGCTCTGTTTTCTGTGGTAAGCTCTCCCTCTGACATGTTGCATCCCACTTCCTCACTCTATAAAGGACAACAAGCATTCCTGTGATCACCAGGATGGAGATTAGAGGCAGAACCACAGCTATGAGCCACAGAGGTGCGGTGCCCTGCACCTCAGAGCACCGGTCACGGCCCTCCGTTGTGTCGATACAGATATCACAGAAATAGTCAGAGACGTTATGTAAACATATGCAGGACCTGCTCTGCACAGCCGGTCCACATGTCTTGTTTTGACAGTTTGAGAGACAGGTCCTGTGGGTCGTGTCCTCCTCAGAGCACGGCGAGGGAAAGCAAACGCCTGGAGAGCTGCAGCTGGAGTGGGTGAGGGTTGAACTGGGCCAGACATCCACCATTAAACTGTGACCGCTGATGGGCAGAGTGTAACCAGTCACATTGAAGTACTGCACACAGCCACTGAAGCCTGTCATAAAAAGAATGAAGACATTTCGGTGTCAGTGTGACTCCACTGACTTTCCAACACTTCATGCAACTTTACACGTACAGGTGACACTTAGAGGGATTGAAGTGAACAGCGAGGAACACTTAACCCAATAAAACCTCCTGCAAGAAATGAAATAACTCAGTATGTTGCTGTATAAGACTCATCAGCTGAGCATCAGGGAGGAAAGATAGACATGAACAAGTACAAGACTGTGCTGTGCATTTTCTGGCTTTTGTTTCGTAAATAATTTATTCATTAGTATTTTAAATAAATGAAATAAGTCATCAGATCCACTGTGTATCTTTACCTAACTGTTGGAGGTTTGTGTCTCCTGCTGGAGCCGTACCAAGGATGATCTTTTCCACGCTTAAAGGAGTGACATCCATACTTTGGTCAGTGCTGTTTAAGAGTGGTTTACCATCCACTGACAGAAGAGTGCTCTGTCTCTTGTTGAACAAGGAGAGGACATGCCAGACTCCGTCCGCCACAGGAGAGTCCACAATGAGCTCTGACAGGTGTCCTGACAGTGTGTCTTTGGAAATGTACACAGGCTTTCTGTCTTTTATCTGATTTAGAAGAAATAAAGTGTTTTACACATATAAAAACAAGATGAGCAATTATGTAAATACATGTCAGACCTACCTTCAGCATAATGTATCCCATCTGTCCAAGAATGAACATTAAAACTCCATCTTCTTTGGTCTTGAATTTGATGTTAATCACAGTTTGGTCTCTTATGTGTGCCTCCTTTTTAACACCCACCACATGTTTTATCAGGTAGTCTCTCTTAAATCTCTCCTTGATAACATATTCAATGTAGTCACTCCCATTGAATCGCAAGACAAGCTCCTCTGTCATTTCTGTTCAAAAAGGAAACACAGATTAATCATTTACTCAATTAACAACTACTTAATGATTAATTAATTTTACATAGATTTTTTTTTTTTTTTTACCTTTGGTACAGTTTCTTCCAGTAAAGGGGCTTTTGCACTCACAAAGATAGTCAGACCAAAGGTCATGGCACACACCACCATTCTTGCACTGGACACTGAGACACGGCGACCCTGATGCTCGAGGGCACCTTTAGAAAATATAAAATGCAAGAAATGCTGCTGAAATCCAGGCATGTATAGAAACAACAGAGCGATATATTTTCTGTATTAAACCTACATATATTTAAAATTTAAAGACTGCGTTGGTCATTTACCTCAAGCTTCTACAAGCTTTAAAAATGTATGAACCTACCTATCAAAGATGTTATATGTTGTGACGGCCATTGAAGGTTTCAGCAGAATGCCGTTGATGTAAATGTTTCGAATACATCCAACAAAGTCGTGGACTTTTATCTGAGTCGGATGCAGCAAAATAAAGTCGATAGTCCTCAGTCCTCCAATTGTCATGTTATTGCTTCCAACATCAAGTGTCCTGATTGGACATAAAGAAAGAGAAAGAAAAATGATTGACACAAGTCAATCCTAAAAACAGAAACGTTAAATTAGTAATTACTGCTTTAATGCTACCTTTCCGAGATGCTGCCATCACTTTTTGAAAAACAAAATCCATTGTTTTCAACCTCTGTGCAGTTGTCCACATGCAAAGAACACATCTGTTGAACACAAATAGCTCTACATGAGTGTTTTCAAATTCACTTCTCCCACTTAAAACTGTTGTTTGATTGTGTACGGACATGTTTAAGACTCACATTTCCAATCCTCTTGACAGCGACACTGTGAAAGGATCCATCTGCAACATGTTTGTGTGTCTGCAGCCTCACAGGTCCTGACCCCAGGTCATAAGAGAGATGTATGGCTCCATCCAGTATCTCCAGTGCCAAGAAATCCCTGCTGGATGATCCTCCAGGATTGTAGAGGAGGAGGGAGTTCTTCTGCACTGTCGCAAACTCCAGAGAGATTAAATTAGTCCTGCGATCCAGCGGGGGAAACTCCATGAAAGACAGTTCTTCAAAGCCAAAACTGTGTTCCTCACAGTGGACTCCACTGACTCCTGCAATAAAGACAAATGTCACCATTAAGACATTGTTATTTTTAATGTAAATCAGTATGTTAATGTTACCAATAAATGCCTTGCTAAAATGATTGACTTTAGCTTTAAAGGTTCCTTTTTTCTTACCAAATGGACAATTACAGTTGAAACCAGTCTGTAAATTGATGCAGCTGCCTTCAACACATGGTGTCGATCTGCAGTGATCGATGAACTCATCACACATTTCTCCTGAAAAAATGAAAAATGGCAAAGATTTGAAAGAATTTCTGGCTTCTGTAAGCACATAGTAATCTGTTTTTTTATATGTCAAAGTCTACCTTCAAATCCAGGCACACAGTGACAGTAATATCCATCCTGAGAGGGAACACAAGTTCCCCCATTTTGGCACTTCACCTTCAGGCATTCATCTCCATCAGCAGAGCAGACAGAGCCGGAGAAGCCACTCTGACAGTGACAGTAAAAGCTTCCCGCAGTATTCACACATGTGCCTTGATTCTCACAGGGATTCACCTCACATTCGTCGATGTCACCTTCACAGAGTGAACCAGTGAATCCGACTGGACAGGTACAATTAAAAATCTCTTTCTGCGGTGACACAAAGATGACCGCTACACTTTCCAGGACAGCAACCTCCTGGCTGATGAAAATGTTTTTGCTGCAGGAAGCCCTGTTTTGACAAGGGCTGGTGAGACACGGGTCACTGGTGATGTGAGAAATGGTCACGTTGCTTTGAGCTTCCAGTAATTTCTTATGTCCAGCAGATATCCCGCTAGCTACCTCTCTGCTAAGATACTGGCCGTTGTAATTCTTGACAGCAGCCAGCAGGAGGATTTCACTGCCAATATGTTTGATTCCAAATACATGAGTCTTCGAGGCCTGTAGGTTAAACAAACTGTCCAGAGCTTTCACAAACCTCAAATACTTATTGGACAAGAACTCTTCCACTGACGATGATGACACATAGAACAATATACAGCTGTCTATAGAGGCATTTGTGAAGCCTTTGTAGTTTACGTAGATGCTGTTGTTAACTGGGAAGTGAAGCTGGTCTGTAGCTTCGATGGTGATGTTAAATGTGGCCTCGCCCTGAAAAGGAGCCGACCACAGCTCACATGAGCCATTAGGTATTACGAACATGTTAGCCGGCCCACTTTTGATGGTGCAGCTGAATGTGTCATCCTCATCCTCGTCTTCAGGATGCACATTTCCAATCATGCCTCCTTGGAAAGAACTGCCAAAATATTTCACCTCAATGAAGATATTTCTTGGTAATGAAGGGTTGTCATTTTCATCTACAACCCTGATGAGGAGTGTTGCTGTAGATGACAGTGGAGAAGGGAATCCTGCATCTCCAACAACCACCAGGAGTTGATATGTAGAGATTTGTTCTCGATCAACAGCCTGTGTGGTGAGTAAAACTCCATCAGTCGTAAGTGAAAAAGCACTAACTGTAGAGGGATTTAATAGCCAGTACGTAAAAGGACCCTGGTTTGGTGGTAAATCAGAATCTGATGCATTTAATCTGATGACGACAGTTCCTTCAGGTTGGTTTTCCTTCACCTGAGCCTCGGTTGATATGAGTTTGGGGGCGTTGTCGTTAACATCACCAATGGTCACGATGACGGTAGTTGTCCCAGTGGCAGGTGGAGAACCATTATCAGTGGCTGTAACAGTCAGATTATAAACTGGCCAGAGTTCTCTGTCGAGTGAAGAGTTCACTGAGATAAGACCGCTGGACAGATCAACGGCAAAAGCGAAGTTTGTGTTTCCGTTTTCAATGCTGAAGAAGAAACGATTCCAGTCCAAGACGGAGTCCTGATCCTCAGCACTCACAGTTACCACCGATGTCCCAGCTGGACTGTCCTCCAGAACATTTGCCACATACAGTGTAGAGATGAACGTAGGGGGATCATTTGTGTCGATCACACTGATGCGGACCAAAGTCTCATCTATATCCATGCCAGTAATAACACCAGGGTTCTTTGCCAGAACCTTTAAAACTACATGGCTGTTGCCTTGTTTTCTCAAACTGTTGGTGGTGTGTATTTCTCCAGAAAGTTTGTCTACTTCAAAGCCCATACTTTTGCTCTGGCCAAACATCAAGTAAAACACCTGACCTTCAGAACCTTGGTCGTAATCTGTCGCTGTCACTTTTCCAATCAGAGTTCCAATACTCACATTTTTAAATACTGAAAAGTTGAATTCTTTCTTCTTGAATTTAGGTGTGAACTCATTGACATCTGAGATTTGGATGACAACATGTGCTAAACTAAATAAAGTAGGTCCACCAGTGTTTGAAGCTTTGATTGTTATGTCAAAGATGTGCTCTTGCTCATAATCAAAGACAACCAAAGTGGTGATTGTGCCATTTCTTGAATCAATTGCAAATTTGTCCACATGGCCAGCAATAAGAGAGTAGGATATCTGTGTATTGGTACCTGAATCATTGTCAGTAGCCGTCACATGTAGAACATTAGTTCCAATTTCTGAGTTTTCAGGGACTGACGTGGTATACTCCGAAGATGAAAAGACTGGAGGATTATCATTCACATCCATAACCGTCACTGTAACATCTACCATGCCAGTTTTAGAAACCCACCCACCATCTTTGGCTTTGATTTGGAAATAATAAGTACTTTCTTTTTCAAAGTCAAGTTCTTTGATCAGAGTTAGCAGTCCAGAGACGTCTCCGACAGATAATGGTAAATATAGATTTTCTGGAGTGATGCAGTACATGATTGCACCATTGGGACCATAATCCCCGTCTTCTGCTTGAATTTTCCCAATTACTGATCCTACAGGCAAGTCCTCAGGGACAGAGAAAATAACATGAGGTTTACTAAAGCTCGGAGCAAATTGATTCCTCCCAGTAATTTCAAAAGTGATTTCAGTGTGTGATGTTAAGGAGGGGGTGCCTGGGTCTTTAGCCAAGACGAATAAAGTGAGGAACAGATTTTCAGCATCAGCCAAAGTTTGATTTAAGATTACTTTTCCATTGTCAGCTTGAATTCTAAAGAAATCAGATGCATTACCTCCATTTAAGATATACTCAATATGAGCACTGCTGTTAACATCCTGATCTATTGCTGTAAACTGGACCACCTCGGTTCCCACCGGCAGGTGATATGGAACAGCAATCAGAGGCTGTAAAGGTAAAAACATTGGTGGGTGTTGGTTATATTGTTCCAATCTTACTATAACAGTGGCATTACTATACAGGGGAACATTGCCACAGTCAAAAGCCATAACTGTGAACTGATAGGTTTCAAAAGCAGAATCACGTAGCATCAGTGGCTGCTTTGTAAAGATTTCTCCAGAGGAAGCATTCACCCAAAACTCCTCATTTGGAGGTTCAATAACATAGAAAATCTCACTGTTTTGTCCAACATCTACATCTGTAGCGACAACTTGCAAGACAAGCACCTCTTTATCTTTTGTTTCAAGAAGGACAACAGTATAAAGGTGATCAGAAAACACAGGTCTATTATCGTTGACGTCCAAAAGGACGATGGTGACATCTGTGCTTATGCTCCATGCTGAATCGTTTGCATGTACTTTCAAGATATAATGATCCTGCACCTCCCTGTCCAAACGTCCTTCAACAGTGATGTAGCCAGTGGTGACATCAATATTGAAAAGCATATCATCACTTTGGTCAGTTATGAAGTAATTAATCACCGCATTAGCATCAGTATCATCATCAGTTGAGGTGACTTGTATAATTGTGTGTCCAACAGGAACATCCTCGGGCAGCTCTGTGTAAAAAATCTGTGAAAAACGAGGTGCGTTGTCATTTCTGTCTAACACAGTGACGATAACAGCTGTTCTGTCTTTATGAAGAGGGTTGTCGAGCTCTGCAGCTTCGACTGTTAGGTTGAATTCAGGAATATTTTCTCTATCTAAGCTTCCAGTGGTGCTCAATAAACCATTTTCAGGGTCAATAATGAAAAAGTTATCAGTGTTTCCCTCTGTTATGTTGTACTGCACTGTGCCGTAATTGCCAGAATCTGCATCAACGGCGAGAACATCACAAACCGCGGATGGTGGGGAATTCTCAAAAACCTCACATCTGTACTCCTCTTGAGTGAACTGTGGGAAATTATCATTTACATCAGTGATGTTTATGTAAATTACTGAAAATGATGAGAAGGGAGGCGAGCCAGAGTCTCTGGCTTCTATCAACAAAGAGAACTCCTTTTTGTTTTCGTGATCCAGAGGGTTCTCCACTGTCAGTGCTCCACTTAATTGCTCCACATGAAACGTGTCTTCAAAGTTTCCGGAAGCCAGATAAAAAGAGACGGGTTCAGCTCTGGTGCTCGTTGCAGAGACCACAGCTACCAGCGTTTCCACTGGCTCATCCTCAGAGAGGGAATAACTCAGAACATCCACATTCATCTGTGGGAATTCAGAGATATCCTGAAACCTGATACTGATGGTAGTAGTGTCAAATCTAGGATCTTCTCCCCCATCTTCCACGTGCACATTGACAATAATATCCTCGGTTCTCTGGAGTGCGCTTGAAGTGAAAACAGTGCCACTGTACGGATCGATGGAAAACCAATCCGAACTTGGTCCATACAACGAATAATGTAGTTCTGCATTCATGTCAGTGTCTCCATCTGTTGCTCTTACTGCACACACAACGGAACCTGTAGAAAAACAACATGAAAAAAACATGAAATTCTCCTCTCAACTCTATCAGTGTTATTTGGAATGAAATATATAACCGTCAAGTGGAAGTATAATGTCTCACCTGGAGCCAACCCGGTGGGCATGTAGGCCACATAAGGGCTGTCCATAAACTGGGGCCAATGATCATTGATGTCTCCAATAAGTACGGTAACAAGCACAGAGCTTGACAGAGGCTGCGTAGGATGCTTATCACTGCCAATCACTGTCAGCCTGTAAATGGCTACTGTCTCCCTGTCCAGGAAATTGGTTGTAAACAATTCTCCAGATGTTTCCTCAATGGCAAAAGGTACATCAAGGTCTTCCATGAAATACCTAAATATAAAAAAAATATACATCCTGTGTATAGCATCCTGAAAGTTGCTCTGATGACAAACATGACATAATAAGCATTGATATCAAAAAGGTCACAGCTGAAGAACTCTAACCTGAAAAGAACATTCCCCCAAAGTACTGATCAATAAGACTTACAAATATGAAATGATTTTCTTAGTGGTGACATTTTACCTTATTTCCCCATTGACACCCTCATCAATGTCGGACGCGGTTATCATGGCGAACACAGTGCCGATAGGACTGTCCTCAGGCACAATGGTGTTGTAGACGTCCTCAGTGAACTCTGGATGATTATCATTGACATCCTCCACTATGACATGTACAGTCAGAGTACCTGTTAGAGGTGGAAATCCTTCAAATGACAAAGCAAAATTGATCAACAAACTGTTTTAGGCGACTGTTTGTAGAAATACTTTGGATAAGGTATTGTTTACATGTTAAATTCAGAGTCTCGTAGTTGAACTTGAACTTAAATTACCTGAATCAACGGCAGTAATGGTGACAATATATAGCGATTCCTTCTCCTTGTCTAGACTGTGTAAAATTTGAAATGTGCCATTTGGTGTGATGGAGAATAAACCATCACTATTTCCTCTCTGTATGAAATAGGTAAGCTGGCTGTTGACCCCTAAATCTTCATCCAAAGCTGAGACCTGTTAAAAAAAAAAAGAGAAAGACATTACCGTCGAAACTCTCTTATCAACACTTGTGAACTCTTTCTTCACCGAGACCCAGTAGCACCTGACGTGTTCGCTCAGATGGATCCTCTTCGTTCTCTTTGATGTGTATGATGAGTGTTTCTGGAGAAAACTGGGGGGCAAAGTCATTGACATCCAACACTGTGACACTGACAGCAGCAGTTGCAGATCTGGGCATGTTTCCCTGATCTACAGCAGTTATGATGAAGGTGTAGTTTGGGTCGATTTCTCGGTCCAGTCGACCCATGACTGTGACAACACCTCGAACTGTGTCCACAACGAACGGAGTCACCTGGGTAATCGTATAACGCACTAGTCCATTCGGCCCAATATCCTGATCACAAGCCTGAACATGAAACAGGCTCGTTCCTCTGGGGATGTCCTCTCTGACCGTCAGGCTGTAATCACTTTGTAAAAACTCAGGACTATGATCATTTGCATCTTCAACATGCACGGTGAGATTCATTGCGGTCGCCATTTGGGGCGAGCCTCCATCTGTGGCTGTTACAGTGATAATCAGCGTATCTACCTCTTCTCTGTCTAACATCTCCTCCAGGTATATTTCTCCACTTCTGTTATCGATGCTGAACATCCCACCAGATGTGTTGCTTAAATCATACAAAAGCTTCCCGTTGAATCCAGCGTCTGAATCCTCAGCATGTACAGTCATTATAACAGAACGAAGCGGGGTGTCCTCTGGGATATTAACACTTTTGGGTGACACAAACACTGGAGCGTTGTCGTTGGCATCTTCGACAACCACCACGACGTGAGCTGTGCTGGTGAGCTGCGAAGACGCCGGCTGGACGCAGTCGCTGGCCGTCACGGTCAGGTTGTAGGAGGATCGTCTCTCTCTGTCTAACTCTTTGTTCAGGCACAAATTACCAGTTGAGTGGATGAAGAACACTTCCTCTTCATCACCACTGACTACTCTCAGCTTCAGTTCTCCGTTGTCACCTGGAGGAAAGGCAAACATAAAAAATGACTTATGGGAAATGATGGTATGGCCTCAAGGTAAAGGGTTGGTATAGAGCAGGGGTGTCCAATCCTGGTCCTCGAGGGCCACAATCCTGCATGTTTTAGAAGTTTCCCTCTTCCAACACACGTGATTCAGATGATCAGGATCGTTATCAGGCTTCTGCAGAGCTTGATGATGAGCTGATCATTTGAATCAGGTGTGTTGGAAGAGGGAAACATCTAAAACATGCAGGACTGTGGCCCTCGAGGACCAGGATTGCCCACCCCTGCTATAGAGTAACATGGAGGACAACCTCTATCATTTGCTTCTGTATTCAAACTTGATTAATGCATTTGTCATAGATATTCAAACAAGTATTTTTCACAAGACAGCATTTTTCAATATATAGAGTTCAACCCAAGATTACTCATACAGATGCCAAATTTTGATTTATATTGAATTTTTAATTGACCAATAGGTTTCCTCTGGTTGAAAATGACATAAGTGATAATACAGCGAGTCAGATATTTAAATGAACTATTTCTATATATCTTCTACCTTCTTTTTCTGAATTTCTGACTTCATGTGAGCTGGTCCTGGTAAGTTCATGCAGTAGTTTTCTAGTCAGTTATTAGTCAACTACAAGTCATGATTAGAACCAAACAGCTTTGTGGTTCTATAAGGGTCGTTCACTGAGAGTTGTGCAGTAGGGCTGCTCATGTCCAAGTGTTTTCATGTGCTAGGGGCAGCAGTACAAAGCTTAATCAAAGTGTAAAAGGAGTTCCACATTGTGAAAAATGTCAATGGTCGTGGTAGAAAGCCAAAAGTGACCCCTGCATTGTCAAAGAAATATCCAAAAATCACCAAGCTGTAGGAACAGTTTGATTGGTGTGGTGACAAATAAAGGTGCTGCCATTAAATATAACTATATGAGTATTTTTGAACATAGCAATAGTTAAACATGTATCATTAACATCCCTAGTACAATGTCTTGCTGTCTTTTCTTACTCATTTATGTCATTTTTCACCAGAAGAAACACATCCGCCAAATACAAATTCACTATAAATCCAAATTTGTCAGGTTATGCACTACATCGGGATTAGCTGTAAATCACGGTGCAAAAAAATATGCACTCTGCAAATTCCTGTTCCTCAGACATGTTTGCTGTAATTATAAAACATCCATTAGCAACAAACAAAAAGGGTCTGAAAACACTGGAAACATCCTGTCTCTGCAGAACTCTGTTTCTTCGCAATGCTGCATTTCTGAGGCACCATTTTTAGCAGAACATAATGAGGTACATAATTTAAGGTAAACACAGTCATGTTGGGTTTTGACTTGCCTAGTGAGGCAAAAAATATGTGAAAATAAATTATGCCTTTTCTACTCATAGCATGTGTGAGTACTGAAAGATCCGGGTGATGTTCGCGCTAATTATAGAAAGGGCAGAATTTTTTTTGCAAAGAAATCGCTATCATGTATGGCAATAACATCTCATTAGTTTGAGCTGAACTGTTAGATGCAGGGCTGGTTGTGAATTTGACCCTCATTAATTGCTTAGACCCACAAATCCCTCGCTGGAGGAGCAGCTCCAATATGAAAAATGGAAGCAGCATAGTGAAAATAAATCGTGGATTTATGGTGAGCCTACATGAGCGGTTCAAAAAGACTTTGAACGGCTCATGTAAAATGGATAGGTTGTCTGTGGTAATGTACATAAAACAAGGATTTCCTCTGTGTCTTGTTTTATATATTTGTACAGTTGGGCTTCACTCTCTCAAATTCCAATCAATTGGAATCATGTAACTGCTTGCAGAAACACATTTAGATGATGAATTCACTCTGAAATATAGATTTTGATCATCGTTGCTCATAAAAGGTGAAGCAGTAGAGAAGCTCTCACATGGGGCAGGGCAAAAAATGCAACTCCAAGTCAGAAAAAGAGAATTAAAGTACTTGTTTGGAGCCTAAAAGTGTGCCGACCTTTACTTGTAACCTGTAAATTATGTATTTTGACCACACACACTGGAGGGTTCCCAATGAACTCTACCTTCGTTTTTATTCTATTTTTTATTACTTTGATTTATGCTTTATTTGATTGCATATAATGTAGCTTTTCATTGTGTTTCTGGTTTACATGAAGTGGCACTGAAATGTCCATTTGGGATTAATAAAGTATCTATCTGATGATGCTTAAATCTCATATTGGTAAGATCTAAAACCAAAGCATTGTGGGAATTTCTCAGATGTACTTTACAGACTTACCATCATCCTTATCAGAAACATTCAACCACAGGAAGCATGTGCCAACCTCTGTGTCCTCCAGCAGCCATGCAGAAAAGGCATGCTGGCTGAAAACAGGGGGGTTGTCGTTCACATCCAGCACATTGAAGTAAACCCTGACACTGGATACCTGCGAATCCCCCTGCTGCAGCGCCACTGTGAGAATATAGTATCTTTGTGTTTCGAAATCCAGGCTGCGGGATAATAGGAACTCCCCTGAGATTCGACTGAGCAGGAACAGGTTCTCTCCGTCATCCTCCTGAACCGAGTATGTGATAGGCGTGAGAGTCCCAAACTGCGTTTCTACTTTTCCCACAACTGTTCCTGTCAACACAGTGGATAATGCATAATTACAGGGTAATTTACACAACAACCGTGGGATGAAAAGGAAACTTTTGGTAACATTATTGTCAAAAAATAGAAGGATTTTAACCGTCTTAAATGCCAGAAATAAGAAATAGTGTTGATAAAGCTACACATTTCAAAAAATAACCGAATAAACGGTTGTCAACAGCATGGGTGCGTCCATGAGGAAAAGATGACTAACCTGGTACTGTGTCTTCTTTCACTTGAAATGAATAAACCGTTTTGGAGAAAGCCATCTGTGTTTGCCATCTGTTATTGGTGCTGACTGTGCCATGCTTCAGCACAGCATCAACAGATGTATAATACCAGGAGGGAAGCGTATGCTGCCCTAAGACAATATCTGCAAACTCCGTCTCACTGCTCACATTTGCTGCTTTTCCAGACGAAGGCTCGTGAGTGGAAGCAGTGCTAAACACCTGAGGAAGCAAAGAACTCGCAGTTTTTGGAAAGTAGAGTGTGCATCAATGTACAACTTTTGAAACAACCACATGATCGGATGGGAGATTTGTTTTAATGTTACACATATTTAAATACAACTGCAACCTTCTAAATCTGATCAAAACCCAAGCAGATTGATAAACAAGTTGTAATGAACAAACTGACTTACCACAAAACAAAACAATACAATCAGATATTTTCTCCATTGTCCAGTAGAGTCCATCATACTGTTTACTTCCTAAGTACCTCTTTCTTGGTCATAATTACAAAATCAAGTAAGAGCACGAGATCCAAAACAAAACAGAAGCGGCATTAAAAAGTGAAGTCCTGGAAACTGCTCAACACTACCTCCACACAAAACTATAAAAGCTGTATCCATAGTGATTAGCCAATCTTCTCAGCTTGTAATCCTGACTGGCACGCCTCTCTGACATCACTCTATGCAAATCCTGGAGTCCACAAGAGAAAAAAAAAAAAGTTCCTTTAGGGCTCCAAAATGAAGCAGATTAAAAGTTTGTTGCATTTGTATGTATTTCAAAAGAAAACATGCCCCATAATCTTTAAATTAATTACTCCTTGCTTTCTGTATAAAACAAACCCCTTGTTCTGAGAAGGATGAAAAAAAGAGCAATAATGATTTAGCCTAGTGTGTTTTGCTGAATCAGTCTGTTTTATATTCCCTCCATGGATTTTTGCTATTGAGGTTACTCGATGTAGACATGAAATGGACTCTTTGAACAGTTGCCCGCAGTAAGGTAGCCTGGAGGGAGGCTTTCTTGTTGCATGTCAGATGGGGGAATTCATTCAGAGACCGCAAGCCATTCATTGAGCGGGTAAAAGGAGAGAAAAGAGAAAAAAAACAACATCGACACTCTGAATCACAGGTTTCAAAGAGAGCTGACATGATGCCGCAGCACAGAATGTTAAAGCGGAATGTAGATTTTATTGTGTACCGCGTCTGAGTACATAACGAGAAACCAACACTTTCCTGGGAGAGAATGTATTCTAATTTCTCTTTGATATGCAAAATTAAATCACCACCTCTTACCGAATTACTGCACGTAATGTACACAAAGGAACGTCATTACTGCTGTCTAGAATAAAAAAAAACAACCGCTGTGACCCTGATGTTAACTACGTGCAAGGACTCTGAGCCAGTTTGTGTGTTGGACGCGCTGAAAGGAGACCACTGTGGCTTCATTCATATTTGCAAACACTTCGGAGAAGAGGGCAGTTACGTGTTGGGCGCCGAAGGACAGCGCTGTTGAGAAAAGCCTGATAAATGGACATGTGAACCCCCCTTAAGTGACTGCGAGGCCACCATGACTGTGAGATTGTCTCCAATTACGGGGAATGGCAACTCAATCCCAGCGAGGGATCAACAAAAGGTCCCCTGCTTTGACTCACTGGGGAAAAGCACACACAAAAAACAAAAAGCACTTTTCTTCACTATGTTTCGCACTTTGGTGAGATTAAAAAAAAGAAGCATGATACTACACTTTATTTTCACTGTGCTTAGTAGAAATCAGTGTCCGGAGCTGTTTGTGTGAAGCAGAATTTGACCAAAAGTCAACTCCTCTGTGTGACCAGGGAGGTTTTGTTACAACAGGCAGGTTGTGTTGGTCTCCCCCTGAACAGAAAAGACTTTGTTTGCTCTGTGATGAAGCTGAAACTGAACATCAGGTCCACTTCTTGTTTTGTTTCTCGTTGTACGGTCATTTAAGACCTATTCTTTGCAAAAATGTGCTTAATTTCTACTAAATTCTGATGCAATACACATGAAACATCCTTTTTAGGTGGTGGATTTTCATTGTAACACATACGGGAGAGAAGACAACATTCTGTTAGCAAAGATTTGTAGGAAGCTACATTTATTTATCTGACCAGTGACTCTCCACTGCAACAGTGTTTCTGACCTTGTTGATGGAGACTGAGCGCTTGTAGGCACACGACCCAAGGAGCAGTTAAAACTTTTAACTTCCCACACTGTACAATCAGGGCGCCACCTTCTGGATCTCAGTTGTTTGAAGTACAGGACCAGGATCAACTGGAGGATTTACTTACAAACTAAATAATACCGCAGGGTGTGGATTCATTAGCGCTTTCCAAATCATATCCCTTGGGCGATCTTTTTTTGGAATTAATAGAATAATCAAAAATGAATTTTCTAACATATTCTTGAATTCTTTGCTCCTGAATTCAAGCATGTTTTATTTATCCAGACGCAATATCATGAAATCGAACTTTGCATTGTATTAGAAACTGTTCAAAATAATAAAATAAAGGTATGAATAGTGTTCCATCTTCATTTCAAGACTGTGTGTTTTCAGCGACCCTTGTTAAACCAAACTTGACAGCAACAACAGGAACAAAGCCACGTCAGCTTATCTTGCACTTATTGACTTGTGCAGTCACCTGCTTCACTTTTTAAATGAAGTCTATTTACGTTGACGAGCTCCGTGCTCGACGCGCTGAGTCTCTGATAACTCGCTGGTACGCACGGAGATGTCAAGACAGCTAAAATAAGAGGATGGAGAAAAAAAACAAACAAAACAACTTCTTAAAAAAAAAAAAAAACAACCTTTATTGAAGACATTCTTGAATGTCGACAGCTGCATTTGATATTAGAGTGGTATTCAAAGAACAATAAAAAGACATTGGGACAGCACATAAAAAAATAGTTTTCAAAACAAAGAAAGATACACTACCAACCCAGAAATCTCATTTTTGAGTTGTAACACCTAAAGACTAGTTACTTTCATACTGATTTGTAGTCCTCCTAAATTGTTACATAATATGGCAGGGATAAAGAACTACCACTAGAAAATCTTAAACTGAAGATATGTAGTGTTAACTTTACAAAAAAAGGAGAATAACACTGTACATCTTAAAAACATTAAATATACACATGTTCTTGTTCAATTTGACTTCTGTTTCAAGATGGTGAATTGAGTATATTAGGATTATATGGCATAAACAAAACTGCGGGTCCCACCCCTGCACATTCTACTCATCATCCTCGTCCTCGTCGTCTTCCTCGTCGTCGTCGACCTCCTCCTCTTCCTCTTCGTCATCGTCGTCGTCAGCTGCAGCAGCTGATCCTGAATCCACTTTTCCCTTTGTGCGGTAGGCAACGATATCCTGCGGGGGAAATGGGTTTGTCAGTAATACAACACACTCTTTTAATAAGGAAGCTTGTATCTCATCAGGCAATAAAATATGTTCCCCGAATGGCTATTTACCTTATCGTACTTCTCCTTCAACTTGGCTGCCTTCTTCTCATACGGCTGCTTGTCTTCTGCAGATGAGCTATTCCACATTTCGCCAAGCTTCTTTGCCGTGTCCCCGATGGAAAGTCCAGGATACTCTCCTTTTACCTTGGGACGAAAGTCTGCACAGAACAGGAAGAATGCAGACCTGCGGGGAGGGCGGGAAAGGTGGCGTTTAATGCACTATAATAAGCTTCTACAGAAATAATCGTGCTTTGTACATGCTGATTATGGTCCCTACGGTGGTCTCTTGGGGGCATTGGGGTCCTTGAATCGCTTCTTCTTCTGGCCCTTGGGGGGAATGTAATTCTTCATTTCCCTCTCGTAGCGCACCTTGTCTTGCTTGGCCATATCTTCGAACTTGCCTTTCTCTTTTGGTGACATTGTCTTCGAGGAAAAACAGAATCAGTTTTAGAACATCCTTCAAGGAAAATACAGGATTCAGAGAATAATTAAAGACACACATATGGAGATTAAAATACTTTACCTTCCATCGCTCAGAGCATTTCTTGGAGAACTCTGAAAAGTTGACAGAGGCATCTGGATGCTTCTTCTTATGCTCCTCTCGGCATGTTTGCACAAAGTAGGCATATGAGGACATTTTGCCTCTTGGCTTCTTTGGATCTTTCACCATTTTGGCTTTACTAAATAGGGAGGAAAAATATGCTTTGAATGAAATGTATACAGCTGTGACAAAAAAAATCTAAATATGCCCCTGCTCAATTGTGTGCCTCTTGCTTTGTCAGTTCCATCTATTGTTTAAATCGGGTGGTGGGAGGAGGGTGTCTGGAGTGACTGATGATCCATTGTATGATGAGGCCAAACTGATGCTTCACTTAAAATTGCAATCAGCTACATATTCTTTTATTGGTGCTTTAGCTTCAGTATTCACCCACAGTGATATAATACTAAGTTGCTAAAAGGGACACATTACGTATGAAGGCTGGCTAATGTGTAGCTAGCCGGCTTGGGGGGTGTAGATGACTACATTAGCATTAGCTTCCGCCTCCATTGATTGTCCGCTAGCTGTTAGCCATTACGGCTCTCGCTTTGTGTCTTCTTGCTTTTAGCGTTAGCCTGTAAGCTAGCTTGCATGCCACAGTGCTCATCTCATGAGACGATTATTAAAATGGCTGATTACACTGCAAACAAAGGCTGGCGCACTGTTTTCACACGCCCTCCGTCCTTTTTGTCCAATATCCGGTTTCGTTAAAAATCCGTCTGGATGGTATGGATTATTGGATTTAAAGTTCCAGTGAAAGTGGTATTGATGTGGGAGAAGGATGCTCCGCCTGTATCGCCGCACCTCGGGCTGCCTCAGCACCGGTCAGCGGTATTAACCTACATTAAGCTACCAGCTAGCGCTAGCCTTTATGATAGCAGCCATTGCTACCAGGCTAGCGGAGCAGGCTAGTCGCTGTTAGCTGGTAGCACATTAACGAACGTTACGCTGAACCCGAGCGTAGTGAATATTAACCCGGTCACCGGAGGACATCCTCACTGTTGTGGTTGTTATTCGCCGCAGCGGCTAATGTCAGCGGTCAGTGACTACGTAGCCAAGTTAGCAAGACGCCGTTCAACAGCAGCAGATTGACACGGAGTTAGCATTCTCGTCCTGCCCAGCAATGCAACTAAACCAGTACAACGTTGATTTGGTCCGTGCCAAACATATCCCAGATCATTGTTTCATTCATAAGAGCCACACTCCGCTCGCTTTGTTGGTAAAATAAGGATTTTGCTGCTTACCCCCTCAGCGCTATGCGACCAGCTGTGCGTCCGTACGTCTCAAACAATGGGACGAAAAGCTTCGTCAGTGCGCGGTCTTTTGGCTCCGAGGATCCGTCTGTGTTTATCCTGTGTGCGGAGCTCCGGCTGTCGGACATTGGCTGCCGCCAACTCCTTGGAGTATCTTATTGGACGCAGTGTGTCACTGCTGCCTGTTGTTCGGTTGGTTCTTCACAACACGACGCTGCGGCGGCGCTAAACTTGAATGACGGTGGATGCGTCTGAGTCATAGACTGAATAAAAGTCTGTGGTGTGAGTGCAGAGGAACATGGAGGGAAGCAGGAAGACACAGGAGCGGAGCTGAGCGGTGGATCAGTGTGCTTTACTATGTGAAATCACTTCTTGCACTCTGATATCAAAGTAACATCATCAACTAACAATCCTAAGGACATAATACTTTATATTATTTGAACAATTTCATGTGTAACATTTCATTTTTATGCACAATATTACTTTATTCTTTTAGTGCCATTGGCAGTATTGCTTTTTACTTTTCTGCTCTAGTTTTAATTAGTCTTACTCAATGCTACTTATTATTCCATTAGGCACAACTGTTAGCCTGTTAGTCCTCCATATACATTTTAGATTTACCGCCTTTATTTTAGTTTTAATGTTTTCTGAGCTAGATCTGTCACACAAGTTACCTCCAGGAACCTTTGTGGCATTATTCTGCTGGATTATCATCATTATTGTTATTATTATTATTATTCTAAGCAGCATTTCAATGCAGTAACTCATCAGTGTAAAGCAAATTTTTATTGTTATGTAGTTTGATAGATTAAAATCAAATCAGTTTACTGTAGTTGACGGCGATGAGCAAACCCAAGCCGTATTAAAAGTTCCTTTTTAAAGCTACTATGAAACTAGATTATTCCAGTCAAGTCACTGTTATGTATGTAGCGTATCTAAAACAGCAGCTGCTGAGCTAAAGTGCTTTTAGAAGAGAAATGAGATTGCTGTTACGACTTTACTCAACAAATTTGAATATTAAGGTTAAGAAGCTACAGTGTTATTTATGATAGGAATTTACCAGAGTAATTAAAATGTTACCCTACAAATGAGATAAAATACAAATTTACTTAACTAAAGTAAATACTAAGCCTAAAACCCTGCACTATAATTATCCATAGTTATTTACTGGACTGATTTCAAATTAAAATGATGACCCTACAAAATGATACACCAAGAAACCTGTGAGCAAACAAGATGGCCGTAGTGTAGCATACTGGCTGGATTATTGAAGAGATGGAACTATAACAGCAAAAGAGCAGAACAGAAACCCGAGACCAGCCATCAACACTAAACAGCAGGACGATAAAAAGAAATAAAGAGTGGACATGACGAGAGCAGCTTCAGGAAGTAGTAAAAGCCATGGAAAAAGGGTGAGCCTTTATTTCTGATTTGAAATTGCTGATGTTGGGACAGGATTTAATATGGAAACAGGCCTGGGTGCCGTAACCTTAAAAGCCTTATTGCCTTTGGTTTTGAGTCATGAGCAGCGCACTGAGAGGACTGGCATATAAGCTTTTGGGGGGAAAAAAAGGCACAAACAAATCTGGAGGATTCATTCTCTAAATTATAAATTGTAGAGCTATTTACATAAGGAATGAGGGCGGCAAGAATTTTAACCTACTTTATGTGCAGTTCATCTCTAAACAATGTGTAAATAGCATGTTTATCTGTAAAGCAACAGGTAAAATATTATACACAGTAAGTGCGACAAAGAAGGAAGTAGGCTGCAGTAATTTTCTCTAAAGATTAATTAACATTAAATTAAGTTACCCAAGTAATTCTGCAGTAGTTCTGTAAGAATTAGATTTAGGTTAAGTACTTGAGTAAATGTAATATACTTCCCACCACCATCAGCAACATTCATAAATAAGACATCTCTGTCGAGGCTGAATGTTTAATGCAACATCTCCCCCACCGAGCAGCTCCCAGCAGCCATTTAAATGTTGTGGGTCTCCATAACCACAGTGCCTGGGAACATGCTGCCGGCGTCGGCTCTGCTTCGGCACAGATAAAGCTAATACCTGAACGTGAAGCTTTGTACGTGGCGTCAGGATCCACAGTTGTCGGTCACACTTTTCAGCAAGCCGTCTGTGACGTGAACATTCATCTTGGAAATGGAAGTGGAAAGGATTTCAGCGCAGTGAAAACAGCTGTAACACAAGGTGGCAAAGCAAAACAGCACTCACCAATGGCAGCGAAAGGTAAACCAATGAAACCTGAAGGTAACTTAATCTGAGCTTTGAAATGCAGAAACACGTTTGATTTAGCAGGCCTCAGTGTATTTTCCTACTTTTCTATTACACATTGGTGTAAAGTTGTCATATTGTTCTGTATTTTATTTAAATTTAGAATATTTCCACTGTACTATTTGGACTTAAAGAGCCACATTTGATCACGATTACTCATGTAGTTATACTGAAATTGTCACCTACAGCAATGCCAATAATATTGCTGAAGTGTCGCATTTAATTCCCCCCTGCAATGCCCCCTGGCCTCAGGGTAATTTTGGTTCCTACCTGCTGTTGTGAGTGAGTGTAAGCAAGCGTGTAATATCCACTGTGCTGCAGAGGATGTGTCCCCTTCACTTTCCAAAATTCTGTTTTTGTCCCCCTCACTTTTGTAGTTGCAGCATTTTACTGTGAATAGTCACAAGAACTGAACAGCAGTTAGAAATATAATAGTAAAGCACAGTCTTTTTTATTGTAGTATGCTACAGTAGCGTTGCAATTATAGTTAAGTTACACTAATTATCAGAAAGTAAATATAAAGGAACTTAAAAATGATTGAGGTGGGATTACAATGCAGAGCTTTATGCAGCATATTGAGTGTGTGTTATCGTGCTTTTACTATTTATATTGAAAAGCCTGATTTTAAACCCTGAGTGACGTGTGTTTTGCAGAATTTGCTTGGTTTTTCAAAGAGATTTCAATCTAATGGTACTTTTTCGTAGAGAGCAAACAGTGGTGGGATCCGTTTGAAACATCTTACAGAAAACAGTTTGTCTACCAGCCAAACTCAGCTGCTGAGATTCTGCTGTAAGTTCTATTTATGGGGATTAAGTTTGTGCAGAATTTGCGTGCTTGCGTGTGTGTAATTGTTTTTCTGTTTTGATGCATATTTAGGTGCCCAATGTCAACATCATTTATAGACTCCTATTCAAAGTCTGGACCTTTTGGTTCAACTGTATACAATAAGGACTTTTACTGGAAGCCAGCCTGTAGACCTGAATGCATTCGCACGGGAACAGCCTCGGGACAGAGAAGAAACAACCCGCATCCCAGCCAGGTTGGTATTTAGGCTGTGTTAACCTCAGTAATACAAAGATGCCATGCTTGACCTCTCATAGTGTATCGTAACCTTTAAAGCAAGCTTTCTTCCCCCCGAAGTCTTTCATGATGTGGAGGATGCCGAGGGACGCTGCACGGAACTCTGAGTATGCTGCCTTCCCCTGGAAATGTCCCCCATCTGAGGGGGAGATACGTAAAGCACTGACAGCGCAGTACTGCTCCACCTACGCATGTGACTTCATGGGTTTGCCTCAAGGTGCGACACTATTGTTGAGTCAGACTTGTGTATGTGAGAGCATGTCAGCATGGCTCCAGATCAGACATTTTCTCTCTACAGCTTATTGAAACTTATTTGACAGGGTATGATGACATCAATAAAGCAGAAGGACGACTTGCGCGGCTGCACAACAGGCACCATACACCACTCTCTGCTGACACTGAGATCAGGGCCAATTACCGCCAGCCAAAGCCTGAACTGCTGGGCAATCTCTTCCACTACAGCTGCAGAAAAGATCCAAACCTGGCCTGCTGTGGCATAGGTACTGTACACTGGAAAAACCACTACAGATGCACCAGTTCCCGTCATCCCTATTAGCTGATCTTCCTCCGTGTGTTACAGTCCCAACTGTTGTGCAACGACACATCCACACTCAGAAGCAGAAGGGATCAGATGTGACAACCTATGACCGGTTTTATGGAAAGAGAGTCGGCGATGTCACATCTGTGATGAAGTCCCTGCTGCCTCAGGAGCTGCAGCAGCTGCACAGAATTTTACCTGAGGAGGGTCAGCATCCGTTCGAGTCTTTGAATGTTTCAGCATTTTAACAGGTTACTCCCTGATTCTGATTTGAACAGACAGATAACATGTTTGTTTTTGTCGTACCGGCTTTGCAGAAAAGGAGGCAGTGAAATCAGCTTTGAGTAGAGATGCTTGTCCAAACAACGGGGAGAAAGTGAATAAACTTCCAGCAGTCGTCTGAAATTCCTGCTCACCTGAATGGATATCAAGCTGGCCGGGACCTCTCTGAACCTCGCTGCTGATGTCAGTAGCTCGATTATCCGTGTTTGTGTGTTTATGTGAACACAGTAGCGTAATATATTGTAAAATAAACGTGTCAGTCAGAATTTTTAAGTTTAACTTGCATGTTGTGATAATTAAACATCTGCATCTTAAGCAAGGTTAACACAATTTTAGCAATGCAATGTAAATGAAATGACAGCTTCAGACGCTTGGTTAGTGTGAAGCAGAAGCTATAATAGGAAGTCCCTGGAGTATGTTTTATTTAAATTTATATAAATTTATATATATATATATTGTTGCTATGGTGCCGCCAGAGTGGCAGCCAGTTGCAGCGGCTCCTACCCACTGCCTGTGTTTTCAGCTATTTACTTTGGTTTTTCTTCGATCTTTTTCATATTTTAATTTCACACAGCTGTACCACATTTGTGCGGGAGCAGTGGAGATGCAGATGGCGTTTTTGTTTGTCTGTTCTTGGCTTTTTTTGCGAGTTTTTGGGGTCTGCGTCGGACGTTGAGCTGTTGAGCCGTTGAGCCGTTGAGCCGTTGAGCCATGGCAGCATGGGTTGTTTCATTCGCTTCATAGCCGCAATAAAACTGTGAAAATGCATCGACAGTAATGAGATAAATAGATAATTACCCCAAAATTGCTGCAGTAGTTTACAGCTCAAAGCACAGTATAAACAGAGCAGCATTTTATTAGTTTTACACGACATTTAACATGGTCACCGAGTTGTTTCTTTCTGTGCAAGTGCTGTGAGTTTTTGTAGTCTCAGTTGTCACTCTTGGTGTCTTGGTTACCACCTGCTCTGCTCAGGTGTAATGCACGAGTGAGTGTCAGGTAGACTGTCTGATTAACGTCTGTTTGGAGGCAGAACTGAGGAAATGTCTCACACTTAAGTCTGCTTTATACAACTTTTGAACAACAAAAATGCCACTGGGGAAAAAGGTTCGCTCTTCTTCAGCTTCGGGAAGATTAGAAACCCAACACGTGACCAGGTAAAATGCTGACTTTACCATTTTTGATCATCTTACCAACATTGCAAAGTATGTTTTTGTTAAATGTGTTTCCAATTTCAATGCAAGATTGTCTTAATTTTGCATTTTTGTCCAGGCGAGGGCGAGCAAATGTTGATGCTTGTTGACTTGTTCCGATGTCATGTAATCCTCTGTCTTGTTGGAAAGTGTTTGCTGTTGTCATGGTGCTTGAGTTGCCATCAGTGGCAGCACTGAGGTACTTTGTAATGCAGGAAGTCTGGTCTCCTGAGCATTAGAATCACATTCCCAGTATTAAAAAGTTAGTGTGCAATTTCCTGTTTGCAACAGTTCTGGCTACACTGACATTTAGCCTAAATGAAGTCCAAACAATTTTTACCAGTGGCAGCAATGACTTTAAATAACAGCGCATATATTTAACATCTTATATCCTCCAGCATCCTCTCTGAACTCAGTGCAGCGGAGAGCACAAGAAACCTATCAAGGCCAAGATGTCGGGGTGAGAAAGCAGACGACTTCTCAGCACCAAGACGAGTGGGTGTCGATGAGGATGAAAAAGAGCAGCCTGAATGGTTGGTGCGAGAGCTGCTGAAACAGAACAGGCGGCGACACTCTGTCACGCTCGGAGATACGGCTCAAACCATGAGTCAACAACACCACGATATTGATTCAACTCGGAGTCTCAAGGTACAGTCTTCAGTGAATTCATCAGAGGAGTGAATAAATGTCAACCACTCTATCTCTCCATAAAAATGGTCTAGATGACTTACAGTCATAGATTTTTTTTTGCCCCTCACCTATGAGCTACTTCTGGCCTGAAGATGTCACTAGAGTGCTACAGTGCAAAACTTGCCACTTTGGGGACTCTTTCCAAAGTGCTTAAGCTGAACTATAGCTGAGGCATATCTCACCAGTAGCAGAATGAATGTGAGGTGGTGCCAAAAATGCCATTTTAAATCAAGTTGATGATCAATTTACTTGCAGCCTGACAGGGAATTGGGCAGGACAATCTATCCCGCAGCCCGTGGATGGCCGTGTTTCAGGCCGGAGTAAAACAAACATAGTTGCTGTGCCAGCTACTTAAAAGGTCCCCAATAGATTCAAGCTTTCAAGCTGACTGGAATGATGGAATGATGTAGGAGTCTGGTGCAAATGCAAGTTTGGGTTTTAGTTGCATATGTCAGTCACACTCTCCTGCTTAATGTAATGAGCAATGTGCCATAACAGATTAGTGGAAACAGGCTCAGGAGTTCAAAGTTATGCATCTCTAATAAAGGGATTTGGAAAGCGGTTGAAGTAATGTGAAACACTTTCAGTACTTCCATCACTCTGACTGATTAAACAATTATCTCCCCAATTCAGAGGATACCGTGGGGAAACCTCAGCTCCAGTTACATCCTTGAGGAATTAGGCTGTTTATCCCTGTTATTTATTAATGATAGATCAAAGGGAGTCATGGATCAAGGACCAGTTGCTAGGAAACCGTGGGAAAATTGAAGAAAGGCCATTAACACAGAGTGCGTGGCCTGTCATCCGGCCTCGTGCAAGCGTCTCAGAGACGTGACATAGCCGGCGGTGCTTGCTTTGGCCGCTACAAATAATACTCCGGGGTGGAGCCCTCATCGTGTGTGTTAATAATGATTCACTGTTCACTCTAAGAATACACTGGTGACATCTCCTCTCTAACCTTGATTTATACTTGTAGCACTCAGACTTTGTAAACTGCCTGGTGAATGGATTTGAGTGGGCTGAAAAAATGGGGAGGAGCCTTTTTTACCAATCAGGCTTAATTACTAGTTTTAAATTATGCATAATCCTCCTGCATGATAGTAATTGTTACCATTTCCTCTCTTCCCTGTAAGATTGATGAGAAGATATCACTGGAGAACCTCCAGCAACTGAGACGAGCATTTGAGGTACAGCGCGAGCCACTTCTTTGAGAACACACTGACAGCTCGGTTATTTATTTCTATGATCTGACTGTATTTTTCTTTATAAAGGAATTTGAAACGGGTGGCTTGAGATGCATTGATGTGAACAATTTTGGACGTATACTGAAGAAGTGTTTGGGTTTCCCTAACACAGTAAGACAGCATGACATTTCTCTTCATATCTTTCTCTCAGATTCTCTGATCCCTGTGTTCTTTGTATCTCACTTCTTTTCACAATTAAGGACAAGCCTTTTGAAATACCGGAATAATTTACAGAAATTGTCATTGTTCTTTATTCTTTTGTTATTTGAATTTCACAGAGCAATGCTCAGATTCAAGGGTTATTTAAGAAGATTGATTATTCAGGCCAAGGAAGGATTTCATGGGTGAGATGAAATTCATATTTGTTTCTTATGAAGCATACAGGCCTTCTGTGTGAGAGAACTGCCTTAGTTGTAACAGTTTGCCATGCACACTAATACCAGAAATCTGCTCAAAAGAAAAAAAAAAAAAAAAGTCAGGCCACCATGAAATGCAACAAGGTTATTTCCGTAACAGTAATTCAGCCAGGATTTGTGGAGAAAGTGTTACTGGAACTGACCTGAACAGTCATTTGGGCTTTTTCAGCCTTTCTACTGCCAAGTTTACTGTACACTAACACATTTGTCTTACGCTGACTCAAAGGCAAAGTAATAGCCTACATTGGTAAATTTAATTTTGTAACATACTTGCGTGCATTTTTCTCTTTGACTGGTCATTTTTTAAAGGCTGTATGGTTTGTAAAGCTGAAAAATTGGTCCTAGTGTACTCGTTTGTACGCTTGCATTCTAATAAATGTCTGGTTTGGCCTTGGAGGATGATTTGTTTTGGATAGGCAGCATGAACGTGATCATTTTATAACACACGGTAATGTGATGCAGGGTGAGTTCTGCGCCCACATGCTGCAGGAGTATAAAGAGAAGGAGGAAACTGCAAGACGCAGCAAGCAGGTGGCCTTCATTTTACCAGCCACCATGAATGCCTCCGGTCATGGCATTCCCATCGTCAACATCCACTCGACCGGCGATGGCACCGTCGTAACAGTGCGAGAGGACGGGTTTGTTTCCCTCTGGAGTCCTGAGCTTAAACCCCAGAAGACAAAACACATGTTTGTATGTTTTACCTTGTGCACATTTACCTGAATACTTTTGTTCCAGCCAGTTTCCCAGACACAGATTAAACACAGTCCTAGAGTAGAAGGAACAACTCAGTGAAGATCTCTATTGAAAAAGGATTTTAGTCTGCAGGACTAATCCATGTCTGGGAAACTGAGCCTAGGTGTTAAGGATTATATATATTTCTTAGTGTCAATCCTTCCCATTAGGAGACCTAAACAAACATAGTGATGTACTTATTGATGTTCTTATTCTGTTTGTGGCATCTTTACAATATATATTATTCTAATTAATCAATTAATGTAATTTCCTAACAGAGGCGGGCTTTGTAGTTCTGTAGAAAGAGTATATGTTGAGTTGGGTAGTGCATAATTTGGTGCATGAGAGATTGATTCAGAAATAAATTAAAGGTTTATCACTACCCAGTGGGGGCACTGGAATCTTTCTGCGTGGAGTTTGCATGTTCTCCCCGTGCAGCGTGGGTTCTCTCCGGGTTCTCCAGCTTCCTCCCACACAGTCCAAAAACATGTTGAGGTTAATTGGTGATTCTAAATTGTCCATAGGTGTGAATGTGAGTGTGCTTGGTTGTCTGTCTCTAAGTGTAGCCCTGTGGTAGACTGGCGACCTGTCCAGGGTGTCCCCTGCTTTCACCCTAAGTCAGCTGGGATAGGCTCCAGCCCCCCCGCGACCCTAGTGAGGATAAAGCGGTGTAGAGATAATGGATGGATGGATGGTTTATCACTATAAAAGAACAATGAGGCCAATACTAATGAACATTTATGTACATTGTGTTCGTGTTATTTTGTCACACCTTTCACTATAATTAATAAAATCTGAAATCATCAACATAAGTTGCAACTTCAGGAATTTGAACAAGCTTCTCTGACAAATATAAAGACCTTTGCACATGGACCTTTGTAAAAACATGAGCTTTTACTACATGAATTTGCTCATTTTTACAGAATGAAGGACCTGCAAATAGACGGTCGAAGTGGGCGAGTGACTTCACCATGATGACAGAGTACAACAAACTGATGATCGCAACAGGGTAAGAAGGAATAGTTAAACAAAATTAACTAAAAGGCTGCATTATTTATTAAGCATATTGATTACCCTCGTTAACTGCAGTCCCACACTGTGCTAAGTTTGTTTATCGTGCACGTTTGCGTTATCTTGCAGGGACAGAGAGCTCCAGCTTTACGAACTTTCCACCTTGCAACCTTATTGTCAGATCAAAGCCCTCGACACAATACCTTTGACGGTAGACTACAGGTCAGCAACCAAACTGCTTGATAACATCATTTCAGAAATGCTCTCATAATTCCTAGCTTGTTAAGGTTTGTTTTTCTCCTCGTAGCTACACCGGCTCTGATAAATGTTGTGTTCTGTATGGAGACACTGAAGTGAGTCCACCGGCTACAACCTGATCCAATTATTAAACAATAATTATATAGACTGAGAGAGGTTAATATTTTTTCATTTCTCTTTCAGGGATGTGTGACTATCATTTTAATATCCTCTGTTGCAGATACCCTCAGGTAATGTTGCTTTCCTAAAATGTACGTGTAATCTTATTTTACCTGTTCAGTTATCTGTAGGAGACTCCATAGCCAGATAGTCTAAATACATTATAAAGGTGTTAGTTTAATCATATCAGAAAATGTCGGACATCCTCTCCAGCATTAATCTGGCAGCTGCTCAAACTAAGAGATGAGTTTTCTGATTCTGTACACAGCCAGGTGAAGACTCAGCTGCGCCTGAGGGAGACGTCAGATATTAACAGCTAATTAGATTTTTTTTTGTTGCCTTCTCGACTGAACAAAAAGACTTCATTAGTGGAAAAAGAAACAAGGACATTTTCTATGTGGAAAGTTTGGCTTTCTCTACCAGCGCTAGCAGTCGTTGCACCATTTTACAATAAGTGCTAAATCACAATCCAAATGGCCTGATTAGATTCATAATTTTGCAGCGCTGTAAGTGAAAAGAAATCTTTGCATTCATACAATAGGAACTACTTTGAAAATCATATAATTTCTTTTTTATCTTGTGGGCTTGCCTAACATCATGAATTTTTCCATGCTTTTCTATAATATAATAAACTCTTGATTGTACTAAAAAAAAAGTATGAAATATTCAGCTTTGATAATCAGATATTAAGAGCGGATGAGGATTTTTTATCTTCAACCATGTTCAGAACTGACCTCATCTTGGTTCTTGAAGATGTTTCCCTTCTCATCCAAGAGGTTTTCTCAGTTCTAAATGACGGATGGAGAGCCTCGGCTATCTCACCACAAATCATGGGCTAATGGCCCGTCGAGGTGTAAATGGTTGCGAAACCGCCAGGTGAAGGATGACTCAAAGTGTAAATGGTAGTGAAACTGTCCGGTTAGGGAGCTCAAGACTGCATCATAAGTAGAGATAGTTGAACATAGGTGGCCTCCTTCACTTCTTTCTCAAACATTTTGCCTTCTCCATATAGAAGTCTGTGCACTCTTTGCTGCATTGGGCTGCATATACAGCATCCTTCAGCTTGCGTTGGTGTTTGACCCTCAAGGTGAACCAGTTTTGGTCTGACAGTGCTGCTGGATCTGAAGCACATCGCCTACAGATGGGATGACAATGTAACTGATGAGAAAATCAGAAGTTATGTTGATTTTAAACAATGTGTTTGTATTTCTCCAGCCCACAAAAACCTTGAAAATCCATTTGCAACATACAGTACATATTTCCTGTCCCAGCAAGTCAGTGTTCAGAAATGAGATGCAGTGACGTGTAGGTTCTTGTATTAACTCCGCATTGTGACGAACGCTATTCAGAGTTGACCATTTTCTCTTTTCCTACTGTTAGGTGCGGCAGCTCTCAGTGTGTTTGACTCATGGTACACCTTTCACAGGAAGATTATGCAGTTATTTTCAGTCAGAACACCCAAAAAAAGAAGAAAAGACTGAGCTGAGAGTCCTTTTAGTACTGCCACTTCAAATGTGTGGTGGAAAATTATACCTTTGCCTCCCATCAGTTTCCTGCCAATCAGAAAATTATACATGTTACACAAGTACATATGTGAGGCTGCAGCTCAGAATATGTGCAGTTTCAGGCCTGACTGTATACCTCCACTTCTCTTTTTATAGATTATGGAATAAACTACCAAAGGTTGAAAATATACCCACAGTAGCAATAGACAATGCAGTGCTGTCTCCAAATGTGACATTTGTCAGATGGAAGGTCCATCACGACTGGGTGACACAGGTGACCTTTTGCCTTTCTGTCTTTATGTGCGCTTCCCTTATGGAGAAACATGTTTAAGTTCAGTCATGTGAAAACTTACAGATCTACAGAAACTGTATTGTTCAATGATGTGATGTTTTAATTGTATTTTGTTCTGACAATCCTGAAGCACAAACTCTTTTCTCTGAATTTAGGCAAAATATTTTCCCAGTTTTCAAGCTGTTGTCTCCTCAACAAATGAAGAATCTTCTTCTCTTGTTATAGGTAATTTCTGTTTCGCTTGTTACTGTGGCTTTTTGGCATATGTTCAGCACAATAACAAACAATCCGAGACATTCGTTGTTGTCACTTGGACTTAAAAAAACAGAGCTACCTGTCTGCTACACACACGCATGGTCTTTGTAATGGAAAAACAACAACTGACGCATAAAAATGAAAAAAGCGGTTAACAAAAAAAGGGAAAAGTATGAAATCCCTTCATTCTTCAGTGTGTGGTAATTAAAGTCTGTGTTGAACATTCAGCTGCTTGGTTGGAGAGCTATGAGGAATGACTCATGATGACTCATCTATCACAAATTCACCAATCAATGCCGGCGTGTGTGTGCGTGATCGCCCTGTATGTGGGCATGTCCACTTGGCAGCTTGGTCATTTATTCATTTAATGACTTACCCTTGCTCAGAAAAACATGTTTTGATCGATGCTGGTACACATGGCCTTGTAATAAAATACTTTCTGTTTGTTTTTTTTCCCCCTTCTTGAGGCTGTGCACTGCCTTTAACTGACGCTGAGCAGCAGTTGAATGAGATCAGGGAAGCCTGCTATGAGGGTAAAGCCAAGAAGATCCAGCTGTGCTGGACAGCACAGGTGCGGGCATCCTGCGATCAGACTGTCTTTACCATCTACAAAGGTGTCAAGGCCTTTGACCTTTGTCAAAAGCACAGTTTGCTGGTCACTGGAGGCATGGACAGACTCATACGCCTGTGGAACCCACATTTTTCTGGGTGAGGAACCAGAATTCAGTGAACATTCTTTGAGACAAGTGTCATTAAATTAAAAGGCCTTCTTTTCTCTGAAATCTCTTGTTCTTTATAGGAAACCAACTGGTATCTTAAAAGGCCACTCTGCTCCCATCATCTTCCTCTTCATCTCCTCAGAGGACAGTCAGATCTTCTCTGTCTCCACTGACAACACTGTTAAAGTGATTCGTGACTCATTTTTATGTCCCAAATGTTCCACTATTCGTATGATTTTATATGTTTTAACCACTGTGTGTATTTCTCTTGTTGTGATGGAAAATAACTAATTACTTTTCATCAAGTACTTTGTTCCAGTAAATTGGGACTTCACTTGAGTTTTTCCATGCTTGTTAATGCTACATTTAACTTTTACCCAATTTCAGACGACAATATTGCGCTTTTGCAGCTATAGTTACAAATACAAAACACAATGCATTATTCCCACATACATTAACAATAATGATCTAGTATTATAGTGTAACATACTCCCATTTTCCATGATTTACACTTCTCCTCTTCATACCTGCAGTATATATGATTGCTTCTACTGTGCTTTAATAGAATTTTGTTCCTTTTACATGAAATAATTTATGGTGTGCTGTTGCTACTTTTACAAAACTAAATGATGAGAATACTTTTTTCCTTTTGCCGTTCAACTGTTTTCCTTTCAGATTTGGCACATTCAGGATCAGTGCTGTCTGTTTACAGCAGACCCTAAAGCAAGCGGGATCCATGGTGATATATCCGCATGCTCCTATTCCCCTGCTGTGAAATGTCTTTACGTTGCCGCAGACTGTTTGGCTGTGCTCTCCCTGAAGCTGAGGTTGGCTGTCACAGCTTTGTGCTCTGTTCTTCATGGTTTCCAATATGCTCTGAAGATATACTTGAAAATGTTCCTCACGTTAGCTAATTTGAAGGTGATGGTTTGAGAGATTCCAAAAGAAAGACGCTGATGATATTTGAAGATTTCCTACAAACCACTTTAACTAGACAGATTTTTCGATTTATTTTTCTGTAGTTATGACTGCAGCTACCTAATATTAGTCTCGCTGTTATTCATTTTATCATCTCTTTCCTCTGTCAGGCCACGGCTTCACAGTCGTTTGATGGCTTCGCATAATGAGCCTGTAATGTGCTGCGGCTTCAGTGAGGAGTTTCGTCAAGTTGTCAGCTGCTCTGAGGGATCTGTGAGTAAATTAGTGCTTTGTAGTTTGAAATTTCCTCTGAAAGTGATTAAAACAGGTGCATAACCGTCCTGTTTTACGCCACTTATTAACGCTACAATTAATTCAAGTTATTTTTGGTACTAGGTGGTGAGAGTTTGGGACTTTGACACTGGGCGTCAGGTTTTTGAGTTCGGCGGCACACATCGTCTGTCCTCCATCACATGCATGACATTTGACCCCAGTAGTAGAAGGTACGGAACACAAAGTACTTTCAGTTTTCATTACATATATTTATCTTCGTCACACCACAGTATGTTCTTGTGCAGACTCATCACAGGTGCAAGAGATGGATGTTTAAAGATCTGGAACTTCAACAGTGGCCAGTGCCTTCAGACGCTAAAGAAGGGTGTGTTTCACAAATGACTCTCTCAGAATAAAAAGTTTTAAATACCTGCGCAACTGTGAAAATTTACTTCCAGTCTTCGTTTTAGACGGCGAATGTCATGAGGTGTGCGACTGTATCTTCCTCAAAGTTCACAGGAAATCGTGAGTAATGATGTGATATTTGGCAAGTGTTCTTGGCTCCGTATAAATTTGAATCCGTTCTGAGCTTGTGCAATTTGCGTGTGCAGCTATGTGATGTCTGTCGGAAGAGCCCGGAGGATTGACATTTACTTGGTGAGTACAAAAGAAAAGACGTAATTCGAGGTATTATTTGCCGGTTGCTTTTCAGAAAATCCCATCCCAATCATTTTTCCAATTCCTCCATCCTTCCATCATATCGCATCCCATTTGCATTTGTTTACATTGTCATTACCAGTTGAACTCCATTCTGAGATTAAAAAAAGCAAAAAGTACCGACATGTCACGCCACATATATCCCGTTTTGAATTATATTATAAAACCAGTGAGATTGAGAACGAAGTGCCTTTTCTTCTCCCTCCAAGTGACATTTCTTGTCATTTTTAGATTTTGTAATGATAGGATGCTTCCAAACATGACAGCAGTATTATTACTGAGATATAAACTGTCTCCTCTTTGCTGATTGATCATCCGTGTTTTTTTCAGGACATACCTGAAGACTCTCATCATGTCCAGAGGCCGCAGCCTTCATGGCAGGATGATCTGGTGACTATGAACAACAACAACAACAACAACAGAAGAAATCAGTTGTTCATTTTGCTATAACCGAGTTTGTATTCCCCCTGTCACATTTATTTCATAAAGAGTAGATGACAGCTGTAGAAACACTGGATGGATTCCACTGTTACTCTTCTGTTTCTGAAAAGCGCAGATTTCCTGACTGAAAGTGACACAGTGGGTCTTTCTGTTGGGAACTCCACGGGTGATCAGAAACACATCAGTCAAATGCACATTGTAACTGACTCTGGTGCCGAATCACTGCTTTATTTATGGGAAAAGCAGTGTTTTTTTTTTCAGAATATATTCCTACTTTGCTACATTAATATGGCAAATAGGATCATCTTATAAAATGTGATTCATTGCTATTCATTAAATGACTTAGCAGTATATAAAGTAGTTAGAATATCCTTTTCGCTTTAGTGTTAGACCAAATAATAATATAATAATATAGCATTCCCATAACCAGCCACTCTCCATACTGAGTAGTTTCACTTTTGATGTTTAAGAACATTTTACTGATCACACACACTTATGGATTATTGAATGCATGCTTTTTACCTGTGATACAGTACTTTTACCGTGAGGTATCGCTTCTTTTTACATAAGTTAGACAAGTTAAAGCCAACTTTCAGCAGCATTGTAGCCTGGGTCAGACGTCTATGTAGCAACAAATGTCTGTCTGAGGAAGCAGATCGCTGTATACAATGTTCATAGAATTGCAGTGCTGCACTAGTTCTTATACACTTTTTGCCTCAGTCACTGTTGCACCTAAAAGGCTGTGAAGATAAAGCTTCCCTGCTGGTTCTGTGTTCATATTACACACACCCATGGAGGACATTGGAGCCTTAAAAGGGTCCAAAGAATCATTTTTTGCTGACTGGCTGGAACGCTCAGAGAGAGAGAGAGAGAAAGATGGCTAACAAAGACTCCCTGATCTCTGCCCTACTGTGCAGCATCGCCTGCAGAAATGTTTTTAACTCAAGCAGTGCGATACACCATCCTTATACTCTCCCTTTTCTCTTCCTTTCTTTCTCCCTGTTCAATTTGTCTTAGTCTTAAGAATTCATACGTGTGTGTTCTTTATTTCCTTCTATAAATGTCCCCTGATACTAACATGGAGCCATTTAATTTATTTATACGCTTGAATGTCAATTTCCTCAAAGCACGTCAATGTGTCAATGTTCCAGTGCAGCCAGCCAGTCATACTGAAATAAGAGGATGGTTTTATCTCTGATTCAGTCCACTACACAAGGTGTGTGCACTCCAACCACAGTGTCCTATAGGGTTACCTCAGTAACAGTGTGCTTCTTGAGCATGTTTTTTTGTGCAGTGGTCAGCATTGTAGCCTTACAGCAAGAAGATTCTAGGTTTGAACCTGCTGGTCAGTTGGGATGGTGTCCCTGCATGGGCTTTCTGCAGGTGCTTCAGTCGAGAGGTTAATTTGTGATCAGAAATCGGTTGTAGGTATGAGTGTGAGCATACATAGTTGTCTATTGTTTTGTGATGGACTTGCGACTGTCTAGGATGTGCCCCGCCTGTCGCCATTTTAACATTTTTGTAACTCAAGTCATGGGACACAGTTGCTAACATATTCTAATCAGATTTTTGCAGACTATGTTCTTTTTTTTGGTAGATATCTTATTGTGGGACAAAAAGCTAATTCAACCTGATTGCCAGACCTTTTGAATACAACACTGTGTAAGGTATACTCACCAAAATGTGTTGTTTTAACACCTACTGGGGGATCAATAAACAGGACTCCAATGTAAGCAGCTCCGTCAGGTTGTGTTTCGCTACAGCGGTGCTCGGAGTCTAATGTTAATGTCAGCATGCTGACACAGTCGCACAGACAGTGTTAACATGCTGATGTTTAGCAGGTAGAATTTGTTTATTGAGTTAGCATGCTGACATGTTCCAATTAGCTCCAAACATGAAGAATAGCTGAGGATGATGGAAATGTCAATGGATTTGAAAGTGTTTAGTTGTGAATCCAAGTAGAGGGCAAATTAATGGTCTGATTTATTAGTGGCACAAGGGGAAACTCATCTTTATCGCCGTGGATATCTATATCAGATTTCATGGCAATTAGTCATACAGTTGTTAAAATATTTAGCTAAAAAGAATATTTTCTCAAGGCGTTTCTGCTAAGCAGCTCTGAAGATGCAAAATAACACAAACTGTACTGCTTTATAAACTGTAAACATTTAATCACCTTTCCATATCAAGCGAAGCCTCATTATGAGGTAACATCGCCAAGTGCAGTAATTAGTTTTTCCTTCTTTGAAAGTGTATCACACCCTCAAAGCCGCATAATCGGTCCCTCCAAAATATCAGAGAATAGATTAGATTTTCCCCGTATAATGCGGTGAAGTGATCTCTGACGGCAGGACGCAGCTCTCTCCACATGAGCGGCAGGAGGGAAAGCTGATTCTCACTAATGCTGTATGATCCATTGGATGAGGTGACTCTCAGAGCCCTCTCATCTCTTTCATTACGGCTGCTGGTTACATTCACCCCCAAAGACGCCCATTAACAGAGCAGAAAGATTACATTACAGTGGCCAAGAAGAAAAGTGACCCCTTTGATTATCTACAGAGGGCTCTCCTGAAATTGTTTTTCATTAATGGCCTCCAGGAGGAAGATCAATGGGTTGTTTTATACGTATTGCTCTCTTTCCCTTAAGCCAGTGAGCCTCGGGTTCACTGTGAATTTTTCTGTTCCTCCAGATGGTCAGTGTTGTGTTGCATCTCATTAAATTTTTAAAACATGACCCAGTTCAGCTGAATATTTCATTTTGGCATGGAATATAATATAAGTTCAAAATGCCATCTGCTTTTCCTGATTTGGTTCATGGTGTATACAGTTTCATGTTGGCAGCATCACTGCGAGCAAATCTTCCCGTTGAGTTCAGTGAGAAATAAGCACATAAAGAACAAGATGAATCACTTTGTACCAGTGTGAAGTAATGTCTGGCTTGTCTGCTTGCTCAGGGGTTTGACATCAAATCAGGTTCTAATCCATGTGTGACACACTCGGTTAGAATATTTTAAGCGAAATCAAGACTTCAGTGAAAACTATTTGACATTCATACAAGGCTTGAAATGACTGGAAGTATTTTTCACCCGGATTCCGCTCGGCTCTTTTAATGAGACTGCTTAGCTCTTCAGATTTTTTTCATTCCCATTTAGTTTCTGGTTAACAGACGGTGACCTTTCAGATATTCATTTATTCTGTAAGGTGTGCAAACCCCTTGATCGTGTGGCAAGTTGGTAAGGTTAGAGAAATAGTTTGACAATATGCTTATTTGAGTTAAATGAGAAGACTGATGCTGCTCTTAGCTCTGCATGAAGGTCTCTTTCCTCTGCAACCTGTCTTTGGCGAAGCTAATTGGCATTTTGTTTTTTGTACTAACATTCGCTGATCTTGTCAAAAGAAAGAAAGTAAGTGTTTTTCCCTGAATTATTGTATAGAATATGTGTTATAAGTACCAAATGGCTTTATGTTTTTGAAAATACTACTTCTTTTCACACAAACAGAGCTTTCTCTTTCCAGTATAAGAGATACAGCTTTTCCATAGTTTGTCAAAGTGTCTCAAAAAGTAATACAGTTTTATCTTGTGCAAGCATAGACAGAAATTCAGCCATAATGAACGACTATTCTTGGCATTAACAAATTCATTATACTGCCGTCATTCAGAGAGGCTCACAGTTCGTCTCTTCTCAGAAAAGCGGCCATAAGGACGACATCCTTTGTGTGGCACAGTGTCCTCCATCTCTCCTGGCCACCAGCAGCTACGATGGAGAGATTATAGTATGGAATGTGATTTCCGGAAGCGTACAGTGTCGACTCGTCTGCCCTCTTGCAGCTCAGCGCCGAGATGTTGAAGGTGATTACTGGAGCCTCAAAGTGAAGGATGAATATATTCTTTTAAATCTCCTGCGAGTATAAAAATCTGTTCTCGAAACACTACATCTATCTTGCATAGCTCTGGATACAAGTGTTCCCAGCATCATTTTCATGAAGAATCTGAAGGTAAAGCAGCTTTCCTTGACTACAGCTCTCCTGTCGTCGGGGGCCAAAGGTCAGTATTATAAATAGCGCTAATCACAGCGCATGACTGCACTTTACAACCTTCCACATTGCGTTTTATTACAGTGTTAATTATGTATTTTCTCTTTTTAAAGGTTGCGTAAATCTCTGGAATGTGCTCGGCGGAGGAAAGTTTGTGAGCGCCCTCAAAGCGGTGAGATATTTTATTCGCAGGTTTCCCTTTTGGCAAGCGAGGTGTACGACTTCCCTTTCTCTTGTCTCTAAAATCGCTGAATAAAGAATAAGATAAGATGTAGTTTCTTTGCTTAGCTTCAGTGTTTTTTAAGAACCAGCAGGTACCTTCCTTGCGGGTTGGTAATGCAAAGCAGGGACCCTTTACTTTTGTGAGATGGGTGAACACGGGGGCATCTAAGCAATCCTCCACAAAACTGATATCAAACAGACGCTATGAGATTCTTCTCAAGACGGCAGAAGTGGTGTTTTTAGATTATATAACGTGCAAATCTTTGTACTTTCCACAAATGACGCACAAAATCTAAATAATTTAGGCTTTTGCAGCCACCTGTGTTTAGTTATGGCCTGTTTTTCTTTATCATTAGTGTTGATGGTTTGTTGCCTGGCACATTTTGTGTTCTATTATGTATACATCAGATTATTTGGAGAGGACTGCTGTTGAACTCTGTCTGCAGTGAAGGTAGCATTTAGTCACCACAGGGGAGGGAGCTGTTTGGTGCTAACTGTGTCATTTTGTCCCTTTTATTATGTTCATTTGAGCCGAGGAGAGCCATTGCCATATAATGAATATGAAGAGACAGCGATATCCCTGTGTAAAAATCTCATTCTTTTTTTTTGCACTTTTCAGTCTAAATTCCAACAAAAGATAACAAACATGGCCAAAACAGACAAGGACATGCTGCTGTACACCGCTGACAAAATTGGTTACATCTATGTTTACAGCATGGAAAAGATTGCCCCTGAGCAAAAATCACCAAGAGGTTAGCTTCATTCTTTTTCTGCTTTTTCCTTTGATTAGAAACACAGCAAAAAAAAAAGTGAAGACGTGCTGTTTATCTGAACATTCTGTGCCTGTTTTTTATGCTTCTTTTTCAACACTTTGCAGCTGAAAACTTCTGGCGTGCTCACACCAGCGCAATTACCGGGTATGTAAAAAAAAAACACCACAATGGGCTTCATTATGGTCAGCAACAAATTCACGTGACAACAATAATCAGGTAACTGTAGTAAAGCGACAATCAGGCTTGCTGTGTCCTTAGCTGCACGGTTAAAACAAGTGCACGCTTAGTGGATCTAATCATTCTCAGTTTGAGGAGTTGGTGGCAGCAGGAACAACACAACTTTCCTCCACTGCAGTACACAAACAAAGTGTAGAAGAGACTGCGTGTGGGAAGGTCTTAGACAGATGATCAGTGTAGGTGAGATGCTGCCCGGGGTGCCTCTGCCATCAGACGTACCAACAGAGTGGATGATTTAGAGTGTTCTGCCAGAAATGCCTTCTCCCATTTCATCCAGTGTCTCTTTATTCTGGTCCAGCCTGCAGATTGTTGACAATGATCAAGTGGTGCTTACCTCGTCCACTGACCACACTGTGCGCCTGTGGAGTGCACAAGGAGAATTCATCGGTGGGTGTCGCTTTGCATACGTCAATGCCCTCATTCCAGACTTTATTAATGTTCCTTCAAACAGCATTAATGTTAATTAATTCGGTGTGACTGGCACGGCTGGACTGACCCACTAGGTGGCCCTGGAGTAAAAGTGAGCTGTAGCTGTCAGCTTCAAGTACCCATCAACTGCAGTTCACACTACAAAGTACATGGCAGATTAATTATATTTTGCCTAGAGAGGCAGTAAACAACCAGCACTCCTACACTACCTGGCGCCTGGTTTTGCTCCTGCTTCGTGTGACAGTTACTTTCTTGTTTATGATGCAGAGTCATTTAGAAATATGCCTGAGAAAAAAAAAACGATAAAGCTGCATTTTAACACAACAACTACACTCAGGTAGTGATGTTGCATTTGCTTAACAACCATAACAACTTGGATACATTTATAATTTTTCTCAGTACATCTTTCAAAAGAAAAAAAATGGCCTGTTTAAACAAACCAGTTGACAAACAGTGGACCCAGGGAGTTTAGGAGCTGCAGCTCTTGAGAGAACTTTAAGGTTTGACAGTGAATACGAATCACAAAGACATAGTACATAACCTCCTGTAAAACCACAAGTTTTTCAAATTCTGGTGACTGTGCAGAGTAAACAAACAAGATGCTACATGCTAATCTGTGAGCTTTAGAGGTGCTAGTCGCTGAATTTAGCTGATTTGGAGAGAGCAAGGCTGACTGACTCTTTATAATGTTTCTCCAAATGCTCCCAAACATCTACCGACATGATGCGATCCCACTTCGAGCCATCCACCTATTAGAATCTACCTCACGTCTTGTGCAAGATTACTAGCAGAACTCTTTACATGTTTGTCTAACATACTTTTTATTCGTACAGATTTCTGATCAGTATTTGTATGAATAATGTAATCTCACTTGATTCCTCAAACTTTTGAAATAAAGATATGATTTTTCTGTGGGACTTTTGGAGGTGTGCTGCACAGTTGGGCACTGCTGCAGAGAAATGATTTCCAATGGATTCAGACACTGTGACATTTTAAGAAGCCACAGTTTTGACTGTGTCACATTCATTCAGCACCATGCCGTGCAAACTGGCACAATATTAAAATTGAGGATTTCGGTCTCCTTCCGCAGGGACCTTTGGGCAGCCCGAGAGCTGGAATGTCCACATCCCCTCATCCTGGATGCATCCTGGTGTCCCCTTTGAGGTTCTGATTGATCCTCTGAGTATGCCAGATCATGAAATACTGAATGCAAAAACATGTCATTCTGATGCCATGAATCCTGACAGGGCTGAGGCTGATAGAGGGGAAGTAAAGGTGAGCCGCATTATTTTCCAAATGATTATCTGAGGTGTATAAGATATGCTCCTCTCTCTCTGTCTCCTCTCCCTCCCAATGTGAAACTGAACTGAACTTCCTCCAACACCCATCAGTGACACAGACATTGAGAAACATTAAAAAGCATATTTTTTACCCAGAGGAACACAAGAATAGGTGCGACTAGGTTATAACCACTTCAACAGCAAAGACTACTGTACATACGCGATGCAAGTCTTACACCAGCTTGAAAAGTAACAGAGTTAAACTTAGAGCGTGTCTTCTTTTGCATTTCAGACTTTGTGATGAAATTGTCAGGCATACTAACAAGCTGTATCGAACCGCTGCGCTGTGGAAGGAGCTTGATACTGTGGAGCCACCAAACACCAGCAAACCACCTGACCTCTCCCTCGCTGGCATCGATCCTTTCGCAAGCAGCACTGAGAGAACTGGAGTGAACTGAATAAGACCAAACTGTATTGATCACAATTGGGAAACTGGGTCATTGCAGCATCCGATATATTGTCAAGGCAGAGGAAGGGAAAATAAAACGGAATGAAATAACAGCAAGAAGTAAGGCTGTATGTAACCGTACACAGCTTTTCAACAGCAAAATGAAACTACAGAGATGAGTGAGAGCGTTAAAACTGAAAAATGTTACAGTTACTAAATTGATTTAATTCATCCAACAAACACTAAAAAAGTGCTTTCAAGAAGGTTTCGCTATTTATTTATTTTTTACAAGATGTACAGCTGCTCATATTCAAGCGGACTCCAAACACCCTGCTGTTACACAACATCCAGACTGCTCTCATTTGTAGCATTAGCTCTGACAAGAAGCAAAGTAGAGAGGTGTTGGGAAATCATTACCATTACAATTTAGCAACAGGGATGGCTTTGAAATGTATTACTTCAGACTGCTGAGAGGAGCACATTTTGCTCAGTATCCCAGAGACATAAGTGAACCAATTTGCTTACTGACTTTCTACAAAAACACACCAATGTGGAAAGAAATAAAAAAGAAATTACTCAAATAAATTGTTTTTATTGTAACCTGATTAAATATTTAAAATAAAGTACTCTTAAAGGTATGAACTTTTTAACCAAAATGAATTCACATGCACTGAAGCCACAGAGAATTATCACAACTCTGCAGTTAATCTTTAAGGTTTATTGGTCTGAAACAATCATTTATAGGTTCACGTTTGCTTTTCATATTGCTACTTTACATCATATATCAGCTACAAGCGTAGTGCCAAAAATACAATCAGTCATTAAAGTTTTAATGTAAGATAGCCCTTTTTAAAATTAATTCATTTTCTTCTTCTTCTTAAGGAAGTAACATTATTAAAGATGTGACAGAATTTGAAAGAAAGATATGGTTTCAGTGATAATGGCTATAGTTTGCATAATAAATTTTTTTTTATCTTCCAGATATATCTATAATGTATTATACGTGTAATAAATGCATTATTCATGATCTTGTGATGGTGTTCTGGCATACATTGTATTATTAACAAAAGCCTGCGTACTTTCCAATTTGTCAGCCTATTGATTTAATAAATAATACAACACGGTTTAATATATGTGACATTGTTTAAGATATTCCACAGATGTGACAATGTGAGAGATCGCGCTGATAGTGAGGTTTGCCACTGATCAGCATTAAAACCATTCACAGGTGAAGGAGAACTTTGTTCGTCTTTTTTCAATGCAATGTTCTGCTGGGAAACCTTTGCATTCATGTGGCTGTTGCTTTTGACCACCCACCTTAGCTTTGTTCCAGACAGGACCCAAAGGATCCCCTGCCAATGTCCTGGTGCCGTGCCACTAGAGGACACCCCAAGAGGTCCTGCGTCCATGTTCCATGAGATCAGAGCTGTCTTAGTGGCACAACAGGGACCTGCACAATATTAGTCCTGTGGATTTAATGACAAAGAATGCAGACTTCCATCAAAGTATGGACTAAATAATATGGAAAGTAATATTTAAGCGAATATGAGGCTCATAGCTGTGCATTTTAAGCTTGAGAAAGAGAGAAAGTGAGACATATCAGTGCAGACGTAGTCATGTTTGCAGAGCCAGAATAAAGTGTGACATATCATAAAAAATGAGGGTATGAGGTGTACTGTATAGTGTGTGCATAAAATTGCATTTTGCACAGTCCATCAAGCAAATTGTCACCATGGTGTTTATTTTTTGTTAGGCCACCGTTTAATGAAACAATATCCATGGAGATTTTGAAAACCTGCAATTCATCATCCTCTCTGCAACCTTCTCCCGACACACAAACACACACACACACACACACACACACACACAGTCAAGTTTCCGTGACCTCAGAGGACATTGCATTGTTTTCCATACATGTCATTACTCTTACCTTAACTGTAACTACCATTTGACTAACCCTGACCTTAAATCTTATCCTCACATTAAAATTTAATGATTTACGTCACGGGGTCCCTATAAGGAAGACGCGTCCCAACAATGTGACTGTGTAAACAGATTTATGCACCCACAACGTCAGTAACACTCGCCCACACACACCTGGACGCCCACCATCCTGCTCTTACTGGGAAAATGTGAGGGTGTGCAATTTATTGTTGACATACAATAATTACAAGAGTAAGCCAGGGGAGGTTATACACATCACTTTTTTTGATTACATTAACTATTAGCATTTGGCCCTACCCTAAAGGCTAATTACCCACATACATACTGAGCAGTGGGAGCCCTGAATTATTCAGAAATGCTCAGTAAATGCGAGCACCCACAGAGGGAAGGAGAGGAAGGTGATTTTGAAATTGGAAGACAGAAATATACCCAATTACAGGTCACAGCTACCTACAAATCTGTGTGTTGTTTAAAAAGTGTGGCGCTCAAGTGAAAAGCGTCTTAGTGGCGGACATTAAAATGTGTTGTTGATTTCAATGTTATTATTGTCAGTTTTTAAGGACATGTTCAGCAGAGCTCAAACACTTCAGTGACAGTGAACTGCGGACAGTTTGCTGCTTGAGTCATGAACCAGACAATCCGACTGTGTCTCTGTAAAATCAACTCACTGTCACTGTCTACGGATTTGCTCTTTCATTTACTGTCACTGGAAAAAAAAAATCCAGTATGGCGCTGTCTTCATTTTCTTGTTTCTTGCTGCAGTGATTGAGTCACAAATGTGGACTGAGCTGTCAAAGTGCATCTGAACAAACGCTGCCTTGGCTGGAAGTTGAAAATGCTGTTCCTACAATTACATTTCAAGTAAAAAACAGTTCCACAACAACAAAAGTGACACATCTGTGTCATCAAACTTGCCATGTATATGGAGCTTTTATTTTTTCATGTGAACTTCTAGCAATTAGTGTTTTAAACAAATTGCTGAAGGTGAAGCCTTCTTGGTTATATCACTGCAAATGATTTAACAACAAAACACACTACCAAATGAAGTGATTATGGTGTATATATGACAGCGTGCATGATGTAGTGTCTCCTCTCTATCATTTAAAAGCAAACACAAGTCGCTGTTGCTGAGACACTTCTATTCATTTCTGCAGGATCATTAGGCTCTCTGCTTCATTACAGCCCTCATGAAAGCGTTCGCTTCAAATCATGTCTTTCATAAATGAGAAAATCTGGAAAAGAAACACGTTTTGACTTGAATCTCAAAACTTAATGCCTTAGCAGAACAACTTTGTGTAACTCTTGTAGGAGGAAACACACAAGTGTAGCCACAAGCGCTAATGATGTTTCAGGTGGGTTTAAAGCCAAAGAAGCCCTGCAGCACCTACATGCAATGCAGCCAATGCTAATGTTAATTATCGGTTACACTGGTGTTTTGCATGAAAATGTCTCCTCTGTTCTTCACCTTTTGTGATACAGTGGCACATAGCAACTGAAAGCGGCTGTTTTGTGATCATAACACAACACAAGCCATTACCATAATCTATAGGGAACCAAACTATGCAATTATGCAGCTGGTAACTAAACATATTTACTGGCTCATCACACCTACACAGCTGTTTTCAGTTATTGCTTCTAATTCGGCCGCTGCTTAGGTTATGATGGGGGATAAATTATGCTGCTAATCCCCCGTCTACTAACTAAGTACAGTAAAGATGTCCCAGTTTCGCAACCTAACAACAAACCTAAAGGAAAGTGAGCGGGAAGCCAATGAAGCACAGTCTGTTCATGTCCACAGAGTCCTGTAAAGACGTCCAATCAGGGAAAATAGGAGCACCGTGGGCTTGTAGGGGTTTTTAATAGAGGCCTATTAAAATCCCTCTGAGCTTGATTGTCATTGTAGGAAAAGCAGGTGTTGCTAATAACAATGACTCTGTTTTGTAACGGTGAGACATGACGGGGTAACAGTAGGCCAGATGCACAACATCCGGACCCTTAAACTGAATCATTACCTTGCATATTTTCACCTGTTGTTTCTTCTGAAATATTTTTGTGTGGAACAAAAAAGGATTTCATATACATAAATAATGTACAGGCTTCGTCTTAGTAAACACTTGTCGCATTTATTTAAAGAAAGCGGAAACAGCTTTGTGCATCTGTAAAATCAACAATAATGCATCAGGCAGAAAGCTTGAGACAAATCTGTCCCCTGCAGTTTCTCCGGTTACAAAAAACAATAAACAGTCTACAGTCCTGCATACAGCAGGTCTAGCCATCATCATTATCAGGGACATAAGCTGTGAACTCTGACATTTTTCACAGCAGACACTTTCACAGAACACAGCGAGGAAACCACGGGTGAGATCTGCAACACTAATGATGTCTGCATCCCATTTAGGCGTCCCAGTTCCAGGGTGCTGCTACTCTGCATGTTGACTCACGTACATGGGACCGAACCACCATTAGTTAATGTTATTAGTTACGCATGTGCCTTATTCTGCCAGGACAAGACAAATGAATGCTGGTGGGGATACAAATTTACATGTATATATACATATATAACAGTTGTACGGGGCTGCAAGGTGGAGCAGTGGTTAGCACTGTTGCCTCGCAGCAAGAAGGTCGCTGGTTCGCATCCTGGTGAGGACACCCGGATCTGGAGTTTGCTCTCCAGGTTCTCCAGCTTCCTCCCACACAGTCCAAAAACATGTTGAGGTTAATTGGTGATTCTAAATTGTCCGTAGGTGTGAATGTGAGTGAGCTTGGTTGTCTGTCTATAAGTGATCCCCCGTGACCCAAGTGAGGATTAAGTGGTGTATAGATAATGGATGGATATACAGTTGTGAACAAAAGTTAACATACACTTGGAAGGCTCATGCAAACATCCTGTTGTGTGATGTAGTGTAACTGAATCCTTCTGCTGCTAACTGACCAGGAACCGTTCAAAATGACACGTGACACGTTCCTTCATTCA